TATTTACTGTGACGTTTTTGTGCACTACTTATTGTAAGTGACTTGCAAACTCAGACACAGTATGAGGATACTTCTGAAAGTCCTCAGCCTCTCCAGAAAACGTCACAGGAGACATATTGTTCTCGCATTATTTTTCAACATACTCTCCTTTAACTTCAGTGCACTTGGTCTACTGATGTGAAGCTTCTATATTCCTTCTTGGATGAAAGCCACGTGAGGCGTTGTAGTTCACAGTTGTGCCCCAAAATGGGAGTTACGCCCGTTGTTTCAGAGTGAGACCGAGAACTTTTTGAAGAACCCTCATAGACTAATAGACTTCACAGCTTAATCAACAGACTCCATTCAGTATCTGTGTACCTGAGCGGCGCGAGGATGCAGTATCTCACGATGATGCCGAGGCCGTAGACCAGCGTCAGCTTCAGACTTATGTACCGGAAGTGGTTGTTGGTGCGAGTCAGTAAGTTCCAGGACACCAGCTCCTCAGAGGAGAACCGCTGGGTCACCTACATTTAACAATTGAAAACATATTTAAAATCAGACAAGCAAAACAAATAACTTATCAACATTTGCATACATTCACATTTACCTCGTCCTCTACGATGCTCTCAATTCCACGCCGGGTGAAATAGAAACAGTCGCTGAATGTGAAATCGCCACCGACCGGCGGTTTGGGGCGACTGCGTCTAAGTTCCTCTAATTCTTTCTCCATAGAGCCACCTTCTCTCTGGATGAGACCTGAAACACACCCACTTACAGTCACTGATAGCAATCATTATCTCAGCAGCAATCTGGATAATAAGTGAGCGTTTGCCGTATCTCCTCAGGCTGTGTTGACTGTGATAGGAAACTAAATGGTTTGAGCAAAAATCAAAGTTCATTCATTATTATCATACATGTGCTTTGCAAGAATGCTGTAGAAAACACACACACACACACACACACACACACACACAAATGAATGATTAAAATAAAACCAAACCATTAAACTATTCAGGTCTCAGTTCATACGTGCTGCATGGCGTACCAAGCAGCAGCCCAGATGAGACGTTGCATTAAGAGATGTCATAACAGCAAAGACTTTCCAATGAAATTATCTGAACAAATTTGTCACTTAAAAGATGGCCTGACACCTTTAGACCTGAAATACATGACATCACCCAAGAACTGTTTTAGGGAATGATAGTCCCACTGCCTGGTATCTAACTTTCCACAGGTCTTGGAACAAGTTAAAAGTCTGCCTCAGTGATAATTCAGCAGCCAAAGTCCAACAGCCAGAGCAACAAATTGCATTCGATACCTAATCAAAACTTTTAGAACAATGTCTGTCTCTGTGTATTCGACACTTCATGCAGGCATCACCCACATTCACGAATGTAACACTGACACACTTTGGACTCTGGAGACGCCACATTTTGCTGACAAAGCCGATGTCTTTATGTGCTACAGCAGGGGGGGAAACCATCCTGTGTAGCTTAGAGACTGATAAAGAGTTGAGTAATTGCATCTTGCAAGATAGGCAGTGTTCCCAGAGAAACTTCACCTTGTTGCCTGCAATAAAAGTTAACTGAGTCACGGTACCACACGGAGACTTCTCGATGCAACTGGAGCTTTAGAATTAAATCATTTTAGCTGCTATCTCACTGGGATAATCACACCATGAGGCTTTTATCTGGTACTCCTTGAAAATCAGGCCGTATCAGTGCAACATTCCTGCCCAGACTTGCAATAAAGTGACTTGTGAAATCCAGTATTGCGAGAAACGCATCTGTCCCTGAACCTCCACATTTCTCAATAAAGGATATGACAACAGTGCTCATATGACAAACATCTATCTATCTATCTATCTATCTATCTATCTATCTATCTATCAGACACACAGGTTTCTACCCACCATTAGATGAAGAGGCTTTGAGTGTTTGTTCATCTGCATGTGCCCTCTGTATCTTCAGCGTGGCCCACTGCAGAGGAGGACAGACAGGACATATTCACGTTTCAATGAATCATCAGAATATCTGCATGGCTTAAAGCATGCACATACAGGAGGAAAATAAAGAAAAAAATACAAGTGACAGCACCTCTAAGGTTTTGACCAGGATGTTCATGTAGGTCTCCGAGATGCCCAGTGAGAATCCAAACATGGCTGGCACCATGATGAGGCCGATTATGAGGTACAGCCAAACCTTCAGCGCCCAAAGGGCCCCGGCCCAGAAGTCCTCCATCGCCGCCTTAGTTCCCTGAGGTATAGAAGAGCAGCCCGGTTGCTCAGGTGTAGTGCAGTCCTGTTTGTAGAAAAAAAGGTGATTTTATTGTTCGTGACACAGATAAGAACAGTCCATCCTGTGCAAAGCAACTTATGAGGATGACAACCACGGTATATAACAAGGGGAGCGACAACAAACTAAATAAAACACTGAAACACTTGACACAGTTGTAAAGTATCACTGACACAGAGCACATAAACACTGACGACCACAATGAATGCACTACTGCCAGCACAAACAGGTCCTGGAGTAAGAAACTGTGTCAGAGGCCTCTCTCCACAGCTAGACAGCAGGACTGTATGAAAGACGGCTTTATTTCTGTTACTTTTCTGCAGTTACCGGATTCCACCAGCTCAGCTTACCTGTCAAACGTCAGTCCATGTCCTTTCCTTACTGAGGAACAACTCCAAGGATTGAACACACTGAACAAACACGCCCATTTCCTACTAGAACAAAGTTCACCGGGTGGAGCTCGGCAGCGCCCCCATGTGGCCTGGAAGGGACGTGCACACAGGTGGACTTTCATGCACACACGTCCATCTATTTGCTTCCACAGGGGGGCTGGACATCCCAGGTCCAAGCTGTCAGCACATCACAAGGCCAATGCACTATCCCCAAGAAGTATTTCAGCAGATCAGCAGATTATTTCATAGGTTATTAGAGAAATAGACACTTGATTCAAAGGAAAATGTATTGAGCAAAACTACACAAAACTGCTAAGAAATATTACTAAAGTCAAAGACAGCTATGGATCAAATTTTCTAAAGAACAAGCACATAAAGACAGAACCTTTTGGACATATGTGGGTCCAAATTCAACCTAATTGATCTGATTGTACAAGGTTATTGTAGAGAAACTCCAACCAGGATGCACTGAGGAAAAGCAAGGAGGTGGAATCATCACATACTGATGCTAATTAATGTTATTTGTATTTAGCAGAAGAAGTATGCAGAAGAATTTTGGATGCAAACTGAAAAAAAAGCAAATAATATCCCAGCAGCAGAAGTGGATCTTTCAGCAGCAAACAAAGAATATTTTACTGAGGAGAAAGTCTTGAACTCCTGACCTAAGAGCAGCGACAGGACGCCCTGGAGAAAAACCGTGTCATCTCATCAGTGGTTCTGCTGGTTGGAACATGGAGCAGTCTTTCACCTGAGCAATTACACAAACACGCTGATTCCTTGTCCAGATGTTTTAAAGCAGTTCTGCAAGCTGAAGTGTCGCGGTCTAGGGTTTTGGTTTCTAGTTTTCTGATTCATTTCTGTGTCTCTCTGTTTGGAGGTTTCATGTCTATTTTCAGCTACTTCCTGTTTTATTTTGAAATTACCTTTCCTTGTGTCGCTTGTGTTTTTAGCTGCTGCTCTTTGTCCCTCTTTTCCCTCCATTTTCATTGACCTGATTAGTGTCACCTGTGTCACTTTGTCCTGTTTGCCTCCAACATGCGTTCTTCCCTGAGTTCATCTGCCTCTGGTTCGTACGTTTTGTTTTTTGTTTTTAACCTTTTTGCATTGCCGGCTCTCCGTGCTTTGGATTTATCTAGTCACAGCTTTTTGATTAAAGCTCACCTTTTATTTCTGGTGTCTGCATTTGGGTCCTCATCAATCATTTAATAAAGAAATGCAAAGATGTTTTGTTCTCATCTAGTGCAATGTAATCCATATATTTCTAAGCACCCAAATACTTTTTAAGGCCTCTGCCTGTTGTTTCTTTGGTAAAATACTTTTAAGACAAAAAAGCATTTTAAAAAAAATAGGATTAAAGTTTGATGCTTGATGCAATTTTTATTTTTTTATTTTTTTTAACGGAAAAAAAAAACTAAAGTGAACTCATTTGTTTTTTGTTTTTCTTGGCACTTGTGCCTTTAATGTCTGGAGATCCTTTAGAACAAAATGATGAAGTTTTTGAGGGAAGTTAAAAATTAAGAAAAAAGAGGTCTACTTCCTAATGCAAATATAAAGTGTGCAAGCGATGCATACAAGTGTTTTTGCAGAGCCAGTAAAACCAATAACATGCCTCAGACACATTACTCACCACAACAGAGGGAAGCCTTAATGAGGAATGTGGCACCAGTCTCTCTGTGTTAATGCTTCTCTCTCCCACCTAAAACTAACAAAAGGTCCTGATTATTTTTCAGGTTCAGACATTTCACAGTCTGTTGCACATTACTGTAACAGGGGACTTAAGGGGGTCAGTTTGGGTAATGTCTCTGACGACGATAAGAGGCCGATTCATTCTGGGATTGAACCCGATCCAGGGAGCTTTCTGGCCTAAAATCTGGCAACTTGGCAAAGAGGAATTTCTGAAACAATACCGGCCGCCCGCAGCAGTTAAATTCTGTGTAACTTGATACGATTCATCATTAAAAATCGGACCTCTCGCTCAGAAACACGTGATCACTTTGATTAATTAGAAAAAAACTGTTGCCAGCAGTGAAGCTTTACATCATTGTTAATAACCATGTGCTGTGACTTTACACCAGGTAGACGTTCCAGATGTCAGTCAACAACACACCATTTGTCCTTTAAAGTCGGGGCGTGTTAGTTCCAGTAAAGCAGAGCCTGTTACTTCTAAAATAGCTGCTTTTTATCTCAAGTCTAAACACTGAGCGCTCACAACTCATGCTGCTTTTATTGGGTCCTGTTGGTGGAACTCCCCAATGTGGCCCATTAGGCTTGTTTTTGTTGGTTTGTCTGCCAAGGGGAGGGGGAAGCTGGGGTCAGCGGGTATCAGCTCAAAGCTGAACTGTCATACTCTGTGCCTTATCAGATGTTTGCAATGTTATTTTTAGCAGGGTCTTGAGTTTTCCAAAATTAACCTCTCCCCAGTGCAGATTTCTGTGAGATTGGGGAAAATATGTATGTTCCTGTTTAAAATCCATTTTCCAGCAGTCGCCAGCGCAAGACTTCAAAATGGTTTGTTTAGAAGAACTAATGTAATTCAAATCTCGCTTGACTCACATCTGAGCCTTTGCTGAGCTTCGAAAAACACTGCAGGGGACCAATCTGTTGTCGGCCCACAACCACATCTCTACACACACACACACGTCTTTTGTACTTTAGATGCAGAGATAAATGGACAGACGCTCCGATGACACTGCAGATAAAGTTCACCTTATTGTCTGCCTCTGTGTTTCCCATGGACCAAGACAACGCAGGAGGGAATGTGTCATGTCTCCGTGGGCTTTTAGTCACACATAAATCTGCTGCAGGGATAAATATTGGAGAGCTGAACCTCGGCGGTTTACGGCCTCCAGGGCTCAGAAAAGCCTTTAACCCTGAACTCAGCACAGGCTGAACGTGTAGTTTGAAGGTATTTACATCTAATTTCCTTGAATTCAGTGCACACGGACTCTAATTTGATAAACACTGATAAAGTCCCTATAGGTGCCACTGTTTAAAATCTGCACCAGCAATATGGAATGAACCAATATTTGTCCTTTAGTGTCAAACAGAACTTCAGAATGCATGTGTTTGCACTGGGTTTGTTCATTGTGTGACATTTAGGTTTGCATTTTAAACGTCTGCACAAAAAAAGGAACATATTTTAGAGTTTTGCAAGCCCTCCAAAGTGCATTGGCACTTTAAGATAGATGTGCATCAAGTTTACACACAGTTACATCACCTGCAGGTTGTTTTACGCATTTTCACAATGCAGCTGTTAAATTTGTAAGAACTTATGTACAGATGGCCTTAAGGTGTTGAAACATCTGTCATTAGTGGACACACACATAAACACTCATTTTGACAGTTAAAGTTTCACAGTTAGATTAACACTGATCTGCGTTGCATCCATAAAGCTGAAGCCTTCCTTTAATTCTCGCCTTAATGATGCGCCGCCGGTGCAGCAGGAGACAAGTCTGGACGGGCTGCTTTATTCAAATCCACGACGCTTTCCTCCTCTGCAGAAGCTGCTCCTGCAAAGGAAAGTAGACACTGGTCCAAAGAACACTCCTCCCCTCCGTCCTCCGCAGAGACGGAGCTTTCTCCCTCTTTTTAAAACCATGATCTGGCTCCCAGTGCTCCTCGGCGCATGTTTCCCCTCTCAGCTCGTTCATGTCATGACAGAGCGCAGCGCAGGATCGCAGAGGTCCCCTCCAACGCCACTGGGACTCCGATGCCGAGGACTCTTTTCCAGTGCTTTGAGTTTGGCTTCATGAAATATGCGATGTTCGCAGGAGCGCCCGCTTCTTTCTCTGCTGCACTTTGTTTTCATTTTGGCAGCCGGCCACGGAGAGCTCTCTGACTCCGGCTCACTCCTCTCCTTCTTTGCAGAACAAGGTCAGTGTGGTGCAGTTAAAGCACAAGTTGCATTGCTGTGCATGTTCTTGACTGAGTGCATGAGTGAAAAAGTTTGTATGGGGGGAAAATGCACATCAATACCAACATGCACTAAAGGGGGGAAATCAGTGCTTCACAACTGTAAGAACCTCTCTGTTGTGCAGGTCACTTGTCCCAGTCAGATGTGTCCATTGTCCACCCGGTGAAAGCCAGCGCTGATGGAGGCTTCATCTCCCACTCTTTGTCCCACCACTTTGAGGGTGGGAGAGTCAGACGTGACCTGCGACCCCTGGCTGCGGACAGACAGGTTTACTACAAGGTCAACTACAAGGGTCGAGCTTTAATGTTCAATCTGACTGCAAACAATCACCTGGTTTCAAATGACTACATCCTGGAGAGGAGGAACGGCAGCGCCAACACCACTGAGCATCGTCCTTCTCAGGGGAATTCCTGCCACCTACTTGGCACCGTGGAAGCCTGGGATGTGCTGGGAACCGCTGCCATCAGCACCTGCAAAGGCCTGGTGAGGTGTCACACTGTTTGATGGGAGGGGGGAGGTCGATTTTAACCTCAGTTTCATTCATTAGATTGCCAAGCTTTCGTGCTGAATACCTCTGCTCTGAAGGTCTTTGAGAAGTGGTGTTAATGCACAGGTGAGGTGGCATCGCCCCGTGGACGCTGGCATGTGGTTCTGGGCTGTAACGCAAAGCCCTCCATCCGACAGTGCCCTGTCTGTTAGTCTGCTCTTCAAAGATTTCCTGACACTATTTGCAGAGGGACTGTGCTGCAGACCCGCTGTCGGCTGCTGCTCCTCAGCCAGCCATGAGATCCTTTCCGTCTTCTTTGTCTTTCAGATGTTTTCCTCTTTACTTTCACCCTTCACATCGCTGTCTGTTCCTGCAGAAACCCCCCCACCCCTCCACCGCCTTTGTTCTACGCTAAGAGAGAGCTCCAGTAATAGTCTTTGGCACATTTTATAGAGTGGAATAGCAAAAGTTTGACATGTGGACAGACAGGAAATATGGCCATACCTTTTGCTCTGTGTATCTGTGCTTTTTTTAAACTTGAGCTGTAATGTTTCTAATCACACAAGTAGTTCAGAACTACAAAGGAGAGACGACAGCTGGGCAGCAGAAAGACCAAGCAGCAGTCCAACAGATTTGAAGTATAAAAAGACACATGCCGCATATGCACACGTCTACAGGAGTTTGTGATTGCTGAGGTTCTGAGTTTTCATTCATCAAATAATAGTCACAGCAGATTTTACACCAACAGGAAGAGGATGTCGGAGAGGAGGAACTTTCCCTCCTCTGAGATGATGGGATGTGTCACTTTTAGTCATGAAGAATGTTTCAGTGTTCATGTTTGATTGTGTCACAGCAGGAATTCCTCTCCTGCAGGGTCTTGCCTCCTGCCTCTCCTGCTATGTTTGTGTGGGTTGCACTGCCTCTTCCTGCCAAATCCTGTAAATGCAGCTCGTTTGTTGCATGTGAGTCAGAACAACGAGACTAAACCGACGGCCTGCCCAGCGGTGCCATAATTTATACGTGACCCACTTTACATGCTCTCCAGTAATCCTCAAAGGAAGAATGTGTTGCGTCACTATAAATTCCACGTATCTCCAAACTATCGCATGTGGAGGAGTTTTCTTCTTGGAATACCCGAATGCCCCAGTTTGCCCCTTCTCCCCCAACCTACCACGCAAACCGCTATGATCCATTACACTGATTTTCTGTTCTGTGGAAGAAGGTTTTATTGCAGCTAAAACCACACGGCGACCACTAAACAGCACGGCTCAGCCAGACAGATGTGGGAGTGAAATCCTTCCAGCTGCTGTGGAGGTCATTCAGCCTCAGGAAGCAGAGAGAGGGTCTGCGCCGAAATATACATCCATGCTAATTATCTGTTGACGTAGCACAAAGGAGAAGCTATTGAGGGCTAAACAAACGAAAGCATAAGAAACACAACATTAAATGACAGTTTTACAAAGATTTTTTTGGGAATAAAAACCATCAGTGATTCCAGATTTGCTGATGTCAGCAATCAAAACATCTATTCTACTTGAGAAGTTTTCCAAAAGTGTTAAAATAATCACCTTGTGCATAACACAGCTGAGATGGTTGCACCGTCTACAATCTGATCTGTCATCTTTAAATTAAGAGCAGGCTGGAGAAAACAAACAAACAAACAAAAAACCTGCAACTAATAAGTTCCCTGATTTATCAATTATTCCTTCGCTCTAAGAAAACTTCCAACAATAATTAAATATCCCGTCATTTCCTAAAGCTTAAGGTGATGCAATCATACATCTTTGACTGTTTAACAGACAGTAGAAAAACCCAAATGTGCTAATTTTACTCCACAATAAGACAAATTGGAAACAGTTTTTTTCTTAATTGGGGACTTAAATCAATTATCAAAATAGCTTCCATAATTTTCTGTTGATGCACTAATCAAGTCATTTACTAATTGTCGCAGCTTTATCAGACACAGAACCGCCAACAGAGCAGGATCATGCCTCTTGATTGCTTCTTGTCGTTTTAACATCGCGCCTCTTGCAGAAACAAGGATGCATTCGCTTCGCTGCAGCGAGCTATGCTATATTTACCCGACATTATATCTTTACAACATGCAGGTTACTCTTCATCTTCACTTTTTACTGCACACATGAGACCAAGAGGACAAACTCCATTGGGTTTAAAATACTCTCACTGTCCTTTTTTTTTTTTTTTTTCGTGGGAAAATCATCAACTTGAGCAAAGCCGAAGCTCTCTCAGAGGAGTCTTCAATGATCCCTCAGGCACGACGCAAAACAAGAACATGCAGGTTCAGAGCTATTATATTGGTATTTTCCTCACTTAAATGAATGTTTCTTTGCGCTATGCTGATAAAAAAAAAAAATGGTAATAATGTCTTTGACCCCTGAGGAAGAAATTAGCTCACAGGTGGAATTATTACTGTGCAGGAAAAGAAAGAAAAGTGTAGTGAAGCCTGTAATTATCAAGGAACAGTTGTCTAGGAATAAGTGCACGTCTGTGTGCTGGAGAATAGTTGTGATTAATCACATTGCAGCACCGTCAGCCCCCACCTCTCCTTGTGTCCCACTAATCACTTGTGAGGCCACAGGCTGTGTAACAGCAGAGACTTTATTTCAGGCCCAGTTGGCCTGCACTCCAAAACCCACAGAAGCAGGAAACAGAAGTAAAGCAGTTCCACATGGCCGATGTATTTAGAACACAGACCTGTGTTATGGTAACCTCCCCTGGCTCTGGCACCTCACACCCAAACAACATGCTTCCTCTGGGTCAGAGGAGGGGGATTAATGGGGAAGAGGAGGAGAGGAGCAGGAGGTGGCAGAGGCAGAAGAGGTGGTGAAAGTGCACAGCGAACTCCAGTTTGAGGCAGTCGGCAGAGAATTAAGGAGTCAGAGCAGAAATTGTGCCAGAATAATTCTTCTTTTTTGTTAGAAACCAAATCCTAGTCGGTGTCCTTTCAAGTTGTCTGTGGTTGTTGAGCAGAGACATCACACAGGATCTGTGTACGGTAATTTAAGGATCACACCTAACACCATAACCACACTGTACGAGCAAAGCCTCGCAGGCGGCGTTGCACAGTAGGACTGCATTTGGTATGCTCCTCATCATGCAGCGCAACGGTCTGACTGTTTGGATGGGCCTCTCTGTAGCATTCCTTCTTGGTTGATCTGCACTCAGCCACCTGCCTTTGTCTGCCGGGACTCACTTAAAGTTTAACTCTCAGCAATACATACAGGAAATGATGGTAAAGTATATGACAGCAAACGATACCCAAGAAGCTCCCTGTAACGCATGTGTTTTGTTTTGCAGTGACATGTTTCAAACGCAAAAACAACAACCTGAAGATGTGTTATTCGTGTCGAGCAGAGCGTTCGTATGAGATATACAGCAGCCGTGAAATCAGCTGAGTCTCCTCTGCACAGGGCCTCTGGGAAGCTTTCCCAGCTGACCGTCCACATATCAGCGTGCATGCTTTGTAGATGAGTCCACCGCAGCTCTGGGAGCTCTGGCTCAAGGCCACAGTCCGAATCAGTGCTGGGGAACGCTTTCTCAATCTTTTATTTAATCTCAGTTTGGAGAACAGTATCCAAGCCTGTCATTGTTGTTTTAGTGGTTGTTTGAGCAGTTTATCCTACAGCAGTTCTGCTTCACTTGGTGGACACTCCTCGTAGCAGGTGGGGTAATGTGGTCTTTCCAAAGCGACCCCAGATTTGTACTTTATGAACTCCCTGAATGGAGCAGTGACCAATCAGAGCGCTGCAGACTGCTGGATGAATGTGCTTGGAGATGGTTTTTTCTTCCAAGAAACACATGTAAAACTTGTCAGGGTGACCCAGAAAGCTGAACAGTTTAGAGCTGCAGTAAACAGCAGGGTAGATCCCTGGAACCACAGCTAGCCAAACTGTAAGCACTGCGTGGCCTAATTTTTCACATCTGCCTTTGGCTCCTGGAACAATAATATTCTAAGAATTCTTGATATTTCGTCTCCTGGATGCATTTGTTCATGTGCAATCCATACTGAAGAGGAGAAAAGATTCTTTCTTTACTTGGTTGTACAAATGCACACCTTCCTCTTTCCATTCATTCGGCTCTTGAAAGAACTTTTCAGCTCTCTCATTATTTCTTTTGCGAGTTGGTTTAACAAAAGAGGGAAGGGTTCATCCTGGAACCGTCTGGGCATGTTTGGTCGCAGCTTGATACAAAACCCATAACCAAACACCTTAATGAAGACAAACTTGCAACTTCCCCGATGCTTGTGCAAGAAAAAGTCTGAGATTAGCCGCTGATGTGTGTTTGCATGCATGTGCTGCATGTTTTCATGTAGTTGTGTTGGAGTAGGAGGGCGTGTGTCTCTGTGTGTGTTCAGCAGCACACCTAGCTCATCAGCAAGTGAATAGTCTGCACCAGTAAGGACACGCAGAGCATACTTAGGAAGAAGTAGTTGTATTACTGCCGCGGCAGACAGAGAATGTGCCCGAGGGAAGGAGAAAGGTTCGTATTCAGATGTGTTGACTAATGATAGTTTCCACTCAGATGGAAATTGCTGTGGAGTGGCCTTTTCTGCAGGCTTTAAAAGAGGGAGGTCTACCTTCTCGCTTTTTTTACCGAGGGAACCATTAAAACGCCATATTTTGTGTTGTTGTTGCTCATAAATGTCATAACACAAACACATGCTTGTTAAGCTTTTCTCTTTAAGTCACCGTCTGAGAATGTGTTGAGATTTAAAACTGCATTTGGCACAATTCTTGGATCAGAAATGTCATAATTAATGACAGTCTGGATCTGTGACTGAGGAGCACCTCCTCTTCCTAATGACTGAGATAACAGAGATTGGTTGTCAGAGTGTCAGATGTCTTTTAATTGCAGAGGAAATGTTTGATCAAAGCCTGAACTTGCTCTGCCCAGTCTTTTTTTCTTCCACTTGATGCATATTTATGAGTGTAATTTCTATTTCCCCCAGAGAGGCTTCTTCTCCCTGCCAGAGGGCCACTATTTTATTGAACCTGTTCAGAGATCTCCAGCTGATCCTGCAGAGGCTCCAGAGCCCCACATCGTCTATCCAAGAGTTACTGCAGAGAGTCAGAGGAAAAAACGCAGCCTTGGTTCCAAAAAGACACCCAGCCCTTGTGGAGTTCGAGGTGTGTGTGTTTCAGTTTGTGTGAATACGATACTGTAGGTGTGTGCACAAGTCAGCATGCCTTTTTTTTCTGTCTGTGTCAGGCAAGGATAAGCCACGAGTGTATTGCAAGTAATGTCTTCCATTATCCTCGCTTTAGATGCCCCAAGTGACTCAGTCCAGGTGGAGAAGGAGAGGGAGGAATGGGAGAGGGAGCAGCAGAGGGGGGAGGACCAGACTCGGTCTCGCTGGCAGCGCTCGGTCAGCAGGGAGCGATGGGTGGAGACCATGGTGGTGGCTGACTCCAAACTCATCGAATACCACGGCAGCGATAACGTGGAGTCCTACATCTTCACCATCATGAACATGGTTTGAATTCACGTTTGATTTTGCTCTCACTCTTCAATAGGTTTGTTAGTATTTGTAGCCGTGACTGATCTCTACGTCGACAGGTGGCTGGGATCTTTCACGACGCCAGTATCGGAAACGCCATCCATGTCATCTTGGTGCGTCTCATTCTGCTACAAGGAGAAGAGGTAATCTGAAAGGAGTCTTAAAGAAATGTTTATGTGCTGCAGTTCTCCTTTTGGCAATGCTTGCTTTAAATGTTGAACAAGAGGAACACATTCCCATCGTGACAGCTGACTCCACTTACAGCTTGTTGCACACTCAGCTGGATTTACTGTATCAGTCTTTCCAAGTTTGTCTGAGATAAGTGTGACAAACATCGAAACACCCAGAGGACTTTAAATCAGTCAAATATCCAGCAACACTGGATAACTGTGTAATCCTCCCATTTCTCAGCGTGCATTGCAAAGAATCGTGTCGCTATCCAGAGGACAAAGGGGGGAGTGGAGCGCGCTGATGGATTCTTAACCTAGTTTGTGCAAACAGACTGATGTAGACACAGTAGGGCTGAAACATGAGAGCCAGAGAGGACAAAGACATGACGCAAACTGAAAGAGTTAACCCCCACAGCCTGTATGAAATTAACATTTTTCATTATTTTCACAATTGTTCCACTTTATTTAACGATAAATCCAAAGGTGTCAGTGGTCGTATCACTACCTTATCAGGAACAAAGGATCACAAACCTCTTTGAAAGTCACAGAGATAAATGTGCAGAATTTAGCAGAATAAACACCTGTCCAAGAGGAAACACGACAAACCAGGCAAGTCATTATGCCAGAGGGTTCACATCGTGTCAGAGGCACGACAAAACTTGGATAATGTCCTGTGTTCTCTTGGTTTACCAGGTTTAAATCAGTTCACCTCGTGTCTTTTTATTTTAATAATGAAGATACAATAGAGTCAGAATGTTGGTCTGTTAGCACCATTAACAGATATGAATATATGAATGCGCTCCATCCCCTCCTGTCCTCTGGGCGCTTGCTTCCCTTGAGCTATGAAGCATCTGATTCAACAGAATTTTGCTGAAAGATTCATGAAGAACACAATTTTTTCTTAGAATCCTCTTCTGTGGAAAACGTGTTTTTCTAAAAAACAAACAAAAAAAAATGAATGAAGACAAACCAGTTACATTGGAAGTCATGACCTGCTTCTCCTCATTCTGAAGGTGATGCATCTCTAAAGCTCTAAAACTCTTATTTACACTCAGAGCCGTGAAAGAATTCAATACAACTGAAAAAGAACAGGTTTAGTCTCAGGAATCCATCCATCCATCATCTCTACACCTTCATCCTCACTAGGGTCATGGGGGGCTGGAGTCTATCCCAGCTGACTCAGGGTGAAGGCAGGTTCACCTGGACAGGTAACCAGTCTATCACAGGGCTACACTTAGAGACAGACAACCAAGCACACTCACATTCACACCTACGGACAATTTACAATCACCAATTAACCTCAACATGTTTCTGGACTGTGTGGGAGGAAGCCGGAGAACCCGGAGAGAACCCACGCTGCACGGGGAGAACATGGAGACTCCACGCAGGAAGATCCCGAGTGTCCTCACAGGCAACCTTCTTACTGCGAGGCAACCACTGAGCCACCTTGCAGCCCCCCAGGAAACCAAAAGACGCTGGATTATTATATATTTCTAACTGTGCTGTTTGTTGCAGAAAGGGTTGAAGATTGTCCACCATGCAGACACCACCTTGGCCAGTTTCTGTGCTTGGCAGAAAAACCTAAACCCCCAAAGCGACACACACCCGGCTCATCACGACGTGGCCGTGCTGGTCACCAGGCAAGTGGGACACGAATGTGCATGTATGAATCAAATGAAACCCCCTCTTATGGAAGAGATATGACACCTAATTTGCATGCGTTCCCTCCTCAGGAAAGACATCTGTGCAGGAATGAACCAACCCTGTGAGACTCTTGGTCTGTCTCATCTGTCCGGGATGTGCCAACCTCACCGCAGCTGCAACATCAACGAGGATTCAGGACTGCCTGTCGCCTTCACCGTCGCTCATGAAATGGGCCACAGGTTGTGTTTGTGTGTTGTGTGTGTGTGTGTGTGTGTGTGTGTGTGCATGTGCATGAGCATTTGTAATTGTTGAGAAATCCTAAATAATGAAATACGGTAACAATAGGCGACATGACAAAGAAAGCGCCTTGTTCCCATGATTCTAGAGGATATGCATGTACAGTCGTGTCATAAAATCTTGCATTAGCTCATCGGCCCATTAATGAACTGGCTGTATGCAAGTAATGAGTAAGTATCCAGTAACTGGACAAACAAACGATAGATACCTGAGAGGCTTGTTGTTGTGGGTGGAGATCATTTAGTAACGGTGAAATTAGAAGAACAGAGTTGTTGGATTTGTTTTTGACTTTAGATGAAAGTGACACGGGAGGTTATCTTGTTTTTGTTTAGTCAGAGGAGGCTGGTTTGTGGATATAAACTGAGATTTGGTCCAGGCTTCATTTGGATTTAACCTACAATTGCTGGAGCTGTATGACTGAAGGAGAAAATGGAAATCAGGAAAGTACCTTCACTGATTTCCTCATTTAACCTGAACACATGGACCAAGGCCAAACCACACATTATGCTACTGATATAATGTACAAATTAGCTATGTAACATCCTTTTAATAATAAAATAAAACAGCATAATTATCCACTTTTTACTGACTGAAAATGACGGAATAAGAACAAGACATGTGCAAATACACGTCTGTCAAATGTCTATTTAACTGCTTCAAATTAGGAAACACATGTTCACACGTCTGGGTTGTTTTTGGCATTGATCACCACCTGACAAGCCAGTGTGCAGGTACTGCTGTCGCTCTGAACATACCAGCACCAGCCAACGGTTTCCTATAAGCCCAGAAACTGACTGTTAGAATGATGCATGCAGATCATACGGCATGAACGCTGCCAGTGCTCGTGAAACTCCTCTTGTGCCTAAAGATAATATCGTAAATGTCGTGTTGATTGTGTTTGAACACAGCTTTGGAATTCATCATGACGGCCAGGGGAACGACTGTGAGCTGGAAGGGAGACACCCGTTCATCATGTCCAGGCAGCTGATGTACGACAGCTCGCCTCTCACTTGGTCCTCCTGCTCCAAGGAATACATCACCCGCTTCCTCGAGTAAGGCTTTTATTCTGAAAAACCTCAAATTCACACCACTTATTTGAGCCAGGAAGTGTCAAATCAGAGAGAATCCTGAGATTTTGAGCTTTCTGACATTTCTTGACCTACTTGATGTGCAGTTCTGTGATAAAGCTGAACCGAATCCAAGTGAAATCCTGTAAAATACAAAAAACTCTCTGTCCTTTATTATAGTTAGAAAGCTGGTTGACAGTTGTGTGTTTCTTCAGAGTAGAGAGGACACAGGTACGGAAACAAATGAAAACATAAGCAGTTAAATATCAGTGGCATGTGAAACCTTTTTCCAGTATTGATAAAGCCTGTGAGTCAAATGTGGTACCTGTTGATGCCTTTCTTTCCCCATTTTTGTAGATTAAATGATCAAACAAATCTAACTTCAGTTTTTTCCTTTTTAATGATTTATGGTTTTATGACTGTACCATACTGCACAAAAGACATTTTTGAGATCTCTCTGATTTTAGTTGATGACAGTTGTGCCATTTCCAAAGAAGTGCTGGACTTCATGTTGCAGTGAAAATGTGACAGGAACAAATAATGCCCAGAAACTGCTTTAGGTTCAGAGGGTTTATCAAGAAAAAACAACATGATTCATGAAGTTTTAACACAGTTTGTGTTTGTGAGGAATGTGAGACTTGTGTGGATTTCCCGGATTGGGAAATCAGCGATGACATTGGAAGTTATTTGCACCCTGCAATGCCGAATAGATGCAGAGAAAGCGGATATGCTGGCGTAGATTTGCATGGAGGTGGTGGAAAAAGACCCAAAAAATCCAACGGGTGTGGTGCTTGTTGGAGTTACAAAAACACTTACATGAAGCAAACCGTGGCACTCAAAGTTTGTTTTTTTTTTTGAAAGGGAAGCAAAGAGTGCAAATATGTCAAGCAGCCTCAATTTATAAGAAGAAAATCCAGCAACTGGCGGAAAAGAAAGAGGAGCCAAAAAAGAACATTAGAGGGCGGCCACCTCTCGCACAGATATCTGCAAATGTTTGCTTTGACTTTCATTATTTCCTCTTGAAGAGTGTCAGTGGTGAATTTTTGTCTGACAACACTTTCACCAGCTGCTGCAAAGTCAGAGGTCGTATTTGTCGAACTCTATTAGAGGAGTTACCTTTAGAAAATAGAAAATACCGGCGTTTTTACATCACCATGGGGAGCATCTGACAACTTTTGCTGTTTTTTAGGAATTGAATCAAGCAACCGTTTCTCTAAAACGTCTCCCTGCTCAGGTCTCATTCTGTTGAACTTTCAGGTTTCCTTTTTTCCTTTCACTGACGGGAATCTCCCTGTGACCACACCCTGCGTTCCTTTTCCATCTCTTTCAAAAGGTCACGTTCAGTATCACGTCTCTGTTTGTGTGTCTTAGCCGCGGTTGGGGTTTCTGTCTCGATGACCGTCCTTCCAAGAGGGACCTCACCACCCCGCTGGCTCGCCTCGGCGTCCGATACACCACCCACCACCAGTGCCAGCTCCAGTACGGTCCCAACGCCACCTTCTGCCCTGAAGTGGACGTGAGTGCTGTGCATCAGCTGGAAGGTAAATGTCAGAAATCCTGTAGGGAACAGTCTTTTCTCATTGCCTTTCTCGACTTCAGAATGTTTGCCAGATCCTTTGGTGCTCGGTGAACGGCTCCTGTCGCTCCAAACTGGACTCGCCCATCGATGGTACTCGCTGTGGACCAGAGAAGGTGAGTGACTTCAGTTGCTTTGCAGGTTCATTTCCAAAGGGGGATGGTTAGCAGGTGTTGTTTTAATGATCTCCCCATCATCTCCTCATTCAGTGGTGTATCTCCGGAGAGTGCGTGATCGTCGGTAAGCTCCCAGAGACAGTGAACGGAGGCTGGGGACCGTGGAGCACCTGGTCTTACTGCTCCAGGACCTGCGGGACCGGAGTTCAGTCGGCAGAGAGGGAATGCAACAACCCTAAGTAAGAGCCATGAAGCACTGTTTTGGATATTTGGTGCACTTTACTCCACCGCTGCTGCTGTATCGTACAAATAAAATGACCGACTCAAATCCTCCGCAGACCAGAGTTCGGAGGCAAATACTGCACCGGCGAAAGAAAGCGTTATCGGACCTGCAACACGAAACCCTGTCGGAATAATAGGCCCACCTTTCGAGAGATGCTGTGCAGCGAGTTTGACACCGTGCCTTACCACAATGAGCTCTACCAGTGGATTCCTGTGGCTAACCCACGTAAGTGCTTAAAACCTCAGACACAAAAGGGACACGCAGACAGACCTTCGTTGCTCATCCCTCTTCACACAAGACAGAAATCAGTAAATGTAATTGTGTTATCCTGTCAACAGGGGGCAGCATTTACGCTCTAAAGCCGTCGGCGATGCATCTGCGAGCTGCACTTGAGCAGGGACACGCTGTCTTTGCTGAAGCTCTATTATGTTTTTGTGCCATTTTTGTGTATTTAAATCACTGTTATTATCGGCAGTAACTATAATGTGATTCATGAGATAATAATAATAATAATATGCTTTATTTATGTAGCTCAAAAACAAACTGCTTTGCAATAAAAACATATATTAAACGTAATAAGAGCCAGAAGTGAAGATATAAACAAGAGAAAGTACATTAAATAAACTACAGATGGATTTTCTGTGACAAAACATGCCTTATCATTAGTTCATGAGACAGTCAGTATTACTCATAATCAGCTTTTTATTTCAATTAAACTGTCTAATCTTTCTTCCCCTCCCCCCCCCTCCTTATTGCCACCAGTGAATCCCTGCGAGCTGCACTGCCGACCAGTGAATCAGTACTTTTCCGAGAAGATGCTCGACACTGTGACGGATGGGACGCCGTGCTTCATGAACAACAACTCCAGAAACATCTGTGTTAACGGAGTGTGCAAGGTAGTGTGCCTGGGTAAGAGACTAATAGAGACCGGAGGGGGGGCGGGTGGTTGTAGCAGGACAGGGTGACACATTGCAGTGGAACTACAGCAACAACAAAAAAAGAGATTTCAGTGTAAATTTCAATTATCCTGTGATGTGTTTTTATGTGTTTTGTGTGTGTGTGTGTTATCTGTAGGAGGTAGGCTGTGACTATGGCATCGACTCAAATGCAGAGGAGGATCGCTGTGGAGTCTGTTTGGGCGATGGCACAAGCTGCGAGACAGTTTATAAGTCGTTTGATGAAGGAGAAGGCTTTGGTGAGCGCAACACAAAAGGAGATTCGTCCAGCTGGAAACTAATTGGATTAGCTCAGCATAAGAAATCATGCAATTATGAAATTTTCGGTAACGCAAAACAGACAAGCTGTTAGCGAGGCGCAGCTTTGATGTAGCAACCAGAACAGTGTGAAAAAGCGAAGAAGTCAAATTTATGTCTACGGGCGGAAAGTCATCTCGGGACAGTTCGTTAGCATTACGTTACCGTTGTGTTGTTTCTTTGTTGTCATGGCAGCCGTGTTGTCCACACTGTGCAGCTGTTTGTCCTGCTGCACTTGGCGGGTGTGATATGTGTGTGTGTGTGCGCTCATGTGTGTGTCTGCACGGCCCGTGTTTGCATTTGTCTAAAGATGGTTGCTTTTACTGTGCTTGGAAAAGTATAACTCAGCCGCTAAATCAACATACCGCGAAGACAGATTAATAGAGAAAGAGGCTCTAAAACAATAAAAGCTCCCCTCCTTCCCTCCTTTCTCCCCTCTCTCGCTGCAAAGCATCCTTTCCAGATAACCGGCCCAGATGTGTACGACTTCAAAAGGCTGAGACCAAGGGCAAACCTCCCCCTCCTTTCACAAACACAGAAACACACACCTTCCCACAAACATCATTAAACTCCAGAGACCCACTCATTGCTGCTTTCGTCCTCCCCCCATGCAGCAAACCTTCCCCCCCGCCTCATCCACACACAATAAAAACCAGAGACAGGGCAGTGCCCCCCACGCCGAATACGTACAGTCACACACACACACACACACACACACACACACACACACACACACACACACACACACACATGCCAACCACCCCCGCAGACTGAGCCCACCCTCTATTAAAGATCAGAGAGAAACTGTCTGGTAGTCTGGATGTGAGTGTGGCAGCAGCCATGGTGGGCCATCCATTACCTCGGTGTGACTTTGACTCCCCTCCCCGACTCTCCCAGGGTACGTGGACGTGGGGGTGATACCTGAGGGGGCGCGGGACATCCTGGTGAAGGAAGTGGAGGAGGCAGGTAACTTCCTGGCTCTGAGGAGCGTGGGGTCCGAGGAGTACTTCCTCAACGGCAACTACATCATCCAGTGGAACGGGGAGTACGAGGCCGGAGGGACGACGTTCTTCTACGAGCGCAGCGGGAACATGGAGAACCTCACCGCCCCGGGACCCACCAAAGAGCCAGTCATGCTCCAGGTAGGCCATCCTAGAGGTTGAACAGGTTTTGTTTAGACATATCAGTGAAAGGTTATCTTAAAATTATCTGCGCTTTAAGCCACATTATTTGCTGTTACCTGCTTTATTCTACATTTATCAATAATGTCTTTTAAATTATTCTTAAATACATTCATGTGGTTGTCCAGCTGCTGTTCCAGGAGAGGAATCCAGGTCTAAAGTTTGAGTACGTCATCAAGAAGACCAAAGAGACCCAAAACGAGGTCCTTGAACCGATTTACAGTTGGAGACATGGAGCGTGGACGGACTGCAGCACCACCTGTGGCCTAGGTCAGGGTTCATTCGTCAATATTACAGATGTAGTAGGAGGATTCCACCATTTTTGATTGGATCACGATGTTCATTTCTGCATTTTTTGGTCCGTCTCAGGCGAGCAGCACCAGCCTGTGCGCTGTTTTGAGATGGATGTGGGCGTCGTGGATGAGTCACTGTGTGACCCAGACGACCGTCCAGAGGACAGACACCGAAAGTGCAAGAACATGGATTGTCCTGCTAGGTGTGTAAAATCAAATCAGACGTCTGTTCTTCTCTCACAATAAATACTGTGGTTCCAACTAGATTCTTCACATACACAAATAATACTGTGGCTGGTTTTAAAGTAGAAAGCTGCCATTTTCTCTCCCTAATCAGTCAGTGTTCAGACAGATAATGTGTCCTCGCCACCTGTCTGGGACGCTGTAATTGTATTAAACATTGAAAAGTTACCCAATGACACAATTGTTTGGGCAAGTCATGGAGCCTCAGTACCTTTTTGGTTATGACTGAAATGGGTTTCTAGAGTGGCCTGCTCACATTAATAGTCTTGTTTTCTTGTTCTTTCATCACAACTAAGAGATGAAAGTTAAATCACCATTTTGTCTTTTTTAGACTTTTCAGTTTATCCAAAGTTCTTGCACAGTTTGACAGGTTTGGCTTATCTGGAGAATAAAAAAGGGTTTTATAGAAAAACATGTGTTTTCCTCCGAGCAAGGTAAACGGCATTCTTTTGGTTTTGGTGCTGGAACTCCGGTAATGTACTGGCAGTGCTACAAAACATTTGAAATAATCCTCCATCCTGCTGAGTGTTTGAAAAAGATAACAACGCTGTCTACTTGCCACGGTCTCCCCGTTTATTGTTTGATTGCCGGTGGTCTCTCTCTTCACCTCCTCTTCCTGTCTACTCTCGTGCCCTCAGGTGGTGGGTTGGGGGTTGGCAGCAGTGCACAGCCACCTGTGGATCAGACGGCTTGAGGAAGCGAACGGTTCTCTGCGTCCGCACAGTTTCGGGAGAGGAAAGAGTGCTCCATCCTGTGGAATGCAAGCATCTCCTTAAGCCCAAGCCTGTGGTGCCGTGCAACCGAGATGTGCCCTGTGGACAGGAGTGGGCTGTGGGCAGCTGGGAAGATGTAAGCCCTTTACTATGATTTGTTTTTGACTTCGTAGCTTCTCCTGACCTAATGTTACAGATCACACTTTCAAAGCACGACTCACCAACTCCATTACCACCCTTTGTTTCGTTTTCTGTTTCCCTGCAGTGTCCTGTCACGTGCGGTGGAGGCGTTCGATCGCGCACAGTCACATGCGCACTGCCGTCCAAAAAGACCTGCGACCTCACAACCAAGCCGAGGTCCAGGTCCCTGTGCGCCCTGCAGAGCTGCCCTAACTCGAGTCTTCGTAGGCGACCGGGACCTCCTCCTAAATATCGCCGCATTTACCCGCCTAAGACCAACTCCACCAAGCCTCCTGGTTCACCCACATGGGCTCCCGTGAGCAGCACAGCCGCCCCTACGACTGCTACCACCGCCAGCAAGAAAACAACTACAACAGTTTTCATCCCGACCACCACATCCCTTTCAATCCCTGAAACCACAGTCCCCGAAATCATAGACGCAGATGATTATGAGTTCAATGTTATGGTGAGGAAGAATGAGGATAAGAGAGGGAAAGTTTTCCCTGCTAAATCCAATGTTGCTGAGAAGGACAGGAAAGTAGGCGTCGTGGAGAAGGAGACGGCAGAAGAGAGGGAGGAAGAAGAAGAGGAGGGAAGCACTCCGAATGCGGTGATGTACACTCCAGGATACGACTACGTTGTCGAGGAGAGGACGGAGAAGACGGAAGTGGAGAGGATTATTGATTTGGATGTTTTCACCACAGCTGCATCACACAGAAGACTTCCTAAATCAACCACGCTAACATCGCACACACTCATCACACCCACTTTACAAACAATTCCACCTACCGTGCACGTGACCGGAGCTCCGACCACAGCTACCTACTCCACACCACACACCAGCACTGAAACATGGGCAAAGACCACTCACTACTCATCCAGCCCCCACACCACGTCGCGGATCAACAGCCGCTGGACTCACCGGGTCGCGCTGACCACTCCTCTGTCCAGGGACCACGCAGTCCCGTCGACAGCCGGCTTCCACACAACGCGAGCTCCTTCGACAACCGCGAGAAAACTCTTCACCACTGCAGCGTCGAGCACAGTGAAGATTGTGAAACTGAAGAAGCCCGCCGTCACGCCCAAGAAAAACAGCTCGACGACTCGGTCTAAAAAGCCCACCTCCAGGTCCAAAGGCGGACGCTCCAAGAGCCAAAACCAGCGATCGGGGAGCGACCAAAGCAACCTGATGGCCAGAGAGCCGGTCAGCTTGGATTTATCCTGGGTTGTGGGAAACTGGAGCGAGGTGGGTGCAGACATTTCATGACGACTCTCAGACATGATGTACCAATTTCCAAAGCATACCATAAGGTTTTAAAATTGTTTAATCACAGACATTGTGATTAAAAAGCAACAAGTGGTTCAAGGATTTACTTTTATCAGACTAAAACCTGCAAAACCAATTTCATATCAAAATGTTCTGGTTATTGTCTCTGAAGCTCCTACAACATCAGCTTTATAATATTATTAGTCAGTTTGTTTTTAAAATAAATGCCTCTCCTGCCTCAGTGTTCGACGACATGCGGGATCGGGGCGATCTGGCGCTCGGTCATGTGCAGCTCCCAGAAGGACGAGGACTGTGCCAGCATGAAGAGACCTGAGCCTGCGCGTACCTGTCACCTGCAGCCCTGCGCCACCTGGCAAAGCGGCAGCTGGAGCAAGGTGAGTAACTCTAGATTTCCTCCCGTCACCGAATCTGATAATTACACTTATTACTTGTTAATTACACTCAATACTTAATTATAATCCCGCTGCTTTTCCAGATGATGAAATCGGTGCGCTTGCTGCTCCTTGTCATCTGTTTCTGAGGCATTTATTGCACTGTAATGTTCTCCTCAGTGCCCAAACGACTGTATGTTGGTGGGGAGGAGGTACCGCGACGTCCAGTGCGTCGATTCTCAGAGCAAACGTCCTCTCAGACCTTTCCACTGTCAAACTGTGTCCAGCCGACCCCTCAGCTCCTTGACCTGCCCCCACAGGTCCTGTATGACCTGGAGCACGTCACCCTGGGGACCGGTAGGAGCTTTACACACTCCTATGAATATTCTTTACACCTTTGGTATAATCTTTATGTTTATTTCTGTTTCATCTCTTTTGCTGGGTAGTTTTGTTTTTTGCATAACTTTTGAGAGATGCATCCCCAAGATTTCTGTTTCATTTATTTATTTCAAATTTAGGGAACTGATCCTTTAATGGTGAAAATTATCATTACTTTTAATAAAGCTGCCTAATTTTTAAAAATGAAATTTCCAGAATGCGTCCAGCATGAATGGAAGGGGAATGATTTGTGTTTCGTTTGCATAAGTTGTTGACTCTCTGCCTTTTTTATTTTTTATGTTTTTACTTCTGTGACATTTTTACTTCCTGTGGGCTATTTTCTCACTGCAATATAAAGTCCTGCATATCTGTGAAATCTACAAGTAGATAGAAATGTACTTTCTTTTGCAATGTGGCAGTTATAATGTCATAAATCAGAAAAAAAGGAAAAAATAATAGTGGAATTTCTTTGATTATTCATTTTCAAAAAATTTGAAAAGAACTTGAATCAACCTGGACAACATTTCTCCAAATGTACAAAAAATCGTGGCTCTACATACTCTAGATATTTTTATAACGTGCATTTTTTTGCTGCTCTGTGCAAACACAACCTGCAGCTTTAACACAGTTTAGCTGAGAAGTCTCTGAATTTTTGTCATATGACTAATGATGGCAGCTGAGTCACTAATGACTTCCTGTTTACGCCGAGTAGCTCAGAATTTTTTTGTTTTTTTACAGGTTCTGTTTGACCAAACGGTTCATTTTTTGCTGAATTTTTAAGTGAGACATGTCGAATAAAGCGATCATAAAGCAAAATACCATGACTTTAAGTTTCCCAGTGGAACGGCAACAATTCTTTCTGCTTTCACAGTTTCTGTCATTTTGTTTTTAAAAGCAACACACCTTTACAACCTGGTATAAGTTTCACCAAGCGACACAGTTAATGCTGCTAATATCACTAATTTGTTAATATTGTGTGTCTCCTATTATAAAGATGCAAATACAGAGAGAATGCATTTTGTTCTCAGCAGATAGCAGACACCCACTTTAAATCCTTGTTATTCCCTCAGTGCTCTGGCAGCTGTGGTGAAGGTGTCAGGGAGCGGCTGGTGTACTGCCCCGAGCCGCACCGCTGCAGCTCCACACGGAGGCCGAACAGCACCGAGTCGTGCAGTTTAAAGCCCTGCACTCGCTGGAAAACCGAGGACTGGGAGGAGGTCAGTCCCACGCTGCCCGTTCAGGAGCTCTTTAAAATGTTTTTTTGCAATAAATAATTAGGGTTGCAATAAACATAGGCTTGGACTAAATTATCGCCCTGTGTGTGTGTGTGTGTGTGTGTGTGTGTGACTCTGCAGTGCTCCGTGAGCTGTGGCGGGGGTCAGCAGCAGCGTGCAGTCAGCTGTGAAAGTGAGCAGGATTCGGCTTTAATGCCAAACAGCCTCTGTGAGAAGATCTCCAAACCAGAAACACTCAGGAAGTGCAATATGCAGGAATGCAGGACAAATGCAGGTTCGTATGCAGCAGTTTGTCTGGTTTAGAGCTTTGAGAAGCAGATTCACCATCAACACACACACATGCAGTGGTTTGAGGAGGGGAGGGGGTGTGTTGGTTAGAATTAACCTGATTAAACTTAACTTTACATGTTATGTCCACTGCAGTGTTTAACTGTATTTGATCTTGTTCCGTCTCTTGCAGGCCCAGCTTGTAAGAAGAACACCATGTCCTCTCGCTTCTGTGACAAGCTGAAGCTGCTGGGCCGCTGCTCTCTCAGGTCAGTCCAAAGACAGTGTTGCGTGACCTGCGGGCCGTGACCAGGGCCGGACACATCCGACGTATCCTCATGAAATACTGGTACAAAGCCATCCACAGACTGAGAAACCAAAGTGCTCCCATGACCACTTGAACAAGCACATTTTATTCAGCACAGACGAACCTGGGTCGACTTTTTTTTTCTCCGGCTATTTTAGTCTTTGCAACGTTTTGCTTGGAAAGTGAGCAGGAGAACAACCCAGAACACTGATAAAGAGCAGCCAGTTGGACTGTTGGAGGTGTTCGAGGTTGGGGAAGATGTTTGATTCATGTTGAACTGAGCACAAAAGCCTGTCAGACTTAAAATATATATATTATTTTTGGTGAATATACTGAAGAGCAAACTCCTGATGCTTCTGTTATCAGTTAAATAACATTTGTTTTATGTGACAATGAGTCAGTCTAAACATGCATACGCCTAAATCAGATTATAACAAAAGGCAAAATGTGCACCTTCCCTCTTCAGAAGATGATCATGTCCGACTGTCAATTCCCCGCTGGGCCAAAGGTGCTTTTATGATTTTATAAAGGTGCTTTCATAATTGAGGTGCTAATAATTCACAGCTCAACAGTCAAGTTGCTAGCTATCTTATATATTTTTCAAAGTGAGCTGGTAAAAGCAGAATGTAAAATAAACAAAAAAAAGGACTTCCTGTGACGTTTTTATTAATTTGTTAATAGTTCTGATAATCCAGAAAAAAAGTGTTTTACTCATAGATTTAGCTTTTATGTGGTTTTGTTCTCAGAGCTGGCGCTGTGTGTTTACATCATCCTCGGTACAAGTTCCTGCTTCAGTCGTTTTGGTTCCGATTGTCCACGATAACTAAATCGGCTGCAGAACCTGCACAGTTCTGCAGTAGAAAAAAAACAAAAACCTGTGGTGCTCCTCCTCTGGTGTGACATTGTACCAATGAGAAAGAGGTGTTGCAGGTCATCCCTCTCAGGTCACTGTCAAGATGGCCGCCGTGTTTGTGTGATGTTGTGCAGGCATTGTCGTTGCTTCGGGTGTGTCACCTCTACTGATTTGCAATTCGCATGTCTCCATTAATTAAATGTGATGTTTGTGACAAAACTGCTTTGTAACTGAGGCGTGAAATAAATACTTTTTTTTTGGAATACTTTTAATGTGTTGGTATGATGGTGTTCAGCTCGTCTGCTCAGGTTTGATGATTGAAAATGACGTAGATATTAAACCGTATCAGGTAACGGTTTGAATCAGTTAAATCCTCGTTTGCATCACGGCCTTGCACTCCGTGACCTTTCGTGCGGACAAGGTCATTCTCGCCTGAGAGCGCCACACGCTGCTGGACGTGTAACGCCCGAATCAGCAGCGCCAGGCTCCGTTTCAGGGATCGGGTTCAGCTGGCCCAGATTTCCCAGGCTCCTCGGTGCCAGAAAACTTGACACGAACGGACGTTGCTCAGCTCCACACGCCCTGCTGCTGTCATTCAAGCCAGAGACCAAGAGTTAGTCAGCAGTAATGGAAGGAGTAACACAATACTGGGTCAATGTGGAGCATCATGTCCTAAGACCCGCCAGCGAGTGTGTGTGTGTGTGTGTGTTATCATGACGAAGCAAACACCGTCCACTTGTATTACCTAACCACATCGCTCATTCGGTTATGTCATTGTGTGTTGCTTAGGTTGCACAAAGAAGCAGTTCAGCTCAACGTGAATGACTGAAAACAGGCTTTCACCATAAAACATGAACTTATTGCTGGTTTGTGATTTTTAAAATTCCTCATCAGTGTTTTTTTTAAATGCATTTTCCAACTAAATCCTGGATGATGGACGTATACAGAGAAGAGCAGCCCAACAAAAAGTCAGTGATCAAGTTATCTGCATAGAAATGAAAGGTATTTACACCCAGAGAACCATTTAGAACACATGCATTGTTCTCTTTACTCATTACAACATGGCTGAAGTTACTTAACTGCTCGATTTCAGCTGTTTTCAAAACAACATAAGTGTCTAATGGCTGGTTGTTTTCTAGAAAGGGCAAAATGCTCATAAAATTACTCTTAACTTTGTGCAACACAAGTCAAGTGTTCGAAAGCCAAACACTTGTGGTTTTGGATTCAAGAGTGAAATGCTTACTTCATTATTTGTAGATTTTCCAGACCTTCTCTGCGCTATGCCAACGGTAGCAAACACATGTTGCCTCCAAAACGTCAGCGACACCATACGGGGACATGCCCGACTAAAAGGCCAGCATATGGAATTTGTCTGTTGGGTTTTCAAAACAAGTATGTCATTCGGGTTTTGTTTGAGTCTGTTTTGTTGTTTCTGACAAAAAAAAAAAAACTCAGATTCAGGATCATTTCCATTTTCAACTTCAAAAACATCAAACCACCTAATTGTTGTTGGACAATTTGGGCTCTGTGGGCTCTGAGAACATGTCGATTATTCTGGACTTTTGGAAGCAGAGAGGGAGTAATGAGCTCATTTCTCTCATTTGTGGACAAACAAGCTATTTATTATATATATTATCCTATCTGGGTTGATTTGATTATCATGCATCATTTGAATCAGAGTATCAGATGGTTATTACGAGGGCTTGGTGAAAAAAGTAATACAGCCATCAATCCCACTGTTGTTTTACATTATAATTATCTAATGATGCATTTAATTTCCTGGAAAACCATTTGAGAAATCATAAAACAAGCAATCCAGCAAATTAAATTCCTGACGATGCAAAATGTTTAATCAAATGTATGCGTGTATTTCTGCTCCGTCTCATGCATCCGGAGATATTACAGTAAAACACGACAGTCTAGCATTAAATTCATGTGTATAGCAGTTGTAAAATATATTGCATCGTCACCTCATGTTGCCCTGAGAAAGACGGAGGCCCGTTCAGAGCGGTTCGGTTGATCCAGTGTCTGACCTGTAAGTAAATTCCTCTGCCCTGCTGAAACCGACACTCGGCACAGAGGGATGATGTAAGCGCCTGGTCAGGACGGGAAAGATAACATGACAAACATCTATTGATCACCGTAAAGCAGGAAACAGCAACCTCATCTTGTAGGTTACCAGACACCCCCCCAATACAACGGCCAGGAACACATTAAATATTTACGTTTGATGACCAACAGAAAAACGAGGCCTCCGGCATGAGCCGAGCGTTCGCAAACACATCTCCGCTGAGCGTGAGGTAACGCGTTCGATCCCTGTGATCTATGAAAAGCTTTAAAGTTGCCATTACAGCAGAATCTTCCTTTAATCTGGCCGCTTACCCCCTCAAATCCCAGCGTAAGCCCGGAGACGGAGGCGGTGGAAGGTAATCCGTGCACCGACTGGCTGCTTTTTGGGGGGAAAGAAGTCCAGTCTGGTGGCTCTCATCTGGACCCCATCAGGTTGCATGTCCCCAGGCAGTCAGACTGGCATCCCTGTACCAGGCCTGTTCCTTTATTAAAGCCTCGGCCTCCTCTGACCCAGCACACACAGATCGGGCCCTGGGGAACGCAGACAGAGACACACACATGGTTCCCATAGGTCAGTTTGGTTGTTTGTGAGTTGTGCGTTTGATTCCCTCATAGACCACATATGGATTTGAGCTTAAGTGACTGGGAGTGAGGTGCTTTTCTCTGTGAAACATCTGCTTAATGATAGTGTGCTGAAAGAAGGGAGGGGGGGCCACTATGCTCACAATGAGGCCGAGCAAAATCAGAGACACATGACATGAATAAGGTGAGTTTCCACAGTTCGACCCGCTAATGTGAGACAGTACACGGAGGATATAAAGCAGCGGATCGCACGGCGTTGGATACACCTGCCGCCACAAACGGGTTTCAATAAAGCCAGGAACAGCGGCCAGTGTCTAAGTTCAGACGGTGGAATATGGATTAAGGTGGCACGTCACACGTAAACAAAAGCTTCCGATTTGAGATTTGTGCGTGCAAGATGCCGTCTTTAATGGAAAAATGCAAAGTTTCAGAAACAATGAGACGTTTAACTGTCTGGTTCATGTACTGAGTGATTCCCAGTTCGTTAAAAGGCCGCGCAGATGTTTACCAGCAGATCTTTATCAGAAAGTCACGCAAGAAATGATGCATGTTAAAGCTGCAGTTAGTTTAAAAAAAAATAAATAAAAACTTTACAGGAAGAGGAACTAATTCCAGCCAAAGACTTTTTGTCAGTGGAAATCCAAGCTGGTTATGTGAAGGATTGTTAAATATTATAAGTTATTAGAACAGAAACATCTTATTAATTGTGGCATTTTGTTCTACAGTAAGTACATGTGATCTTTATTTTGCTTTTGAAACCACATTTACACACAAAATGCAACACAGAAATGGTCAAACATTGATTTTTATTGAGAATGCATCAACTCGTTTAAGTAATAAAAAAATAACAGGCTCGTATAGACGGTTTAATGCCAACGGTACATGACAGCGCTTCACCCAAACCTTTACCGGAACCAAATTTACCTTCACATCACATCCCTGACACGACCTGATTCTTCTACAACCATCTATAAAAGTAATCCTCTGACAGGTTTTTGCAGTTTCAAGGGCACACACAGGTCACCACAGATGTACTGTTTGTTTGTGTCCCATTTTAGAGTGTGTTAAACAAAAAAATACATCATATAATTAAGGACTTAAGAACAACAGCCAAGTAACATAAACGCAACAAAAACAACACCTGATAGTTTTACTAGTTTTCCGGGTGAAAAAAACTGAAATCTACTTTTTGTGAAACTCACTTAATTACACGCCAAAAGACATGAAGAGAAAATTTTCCATGTGTGTCACCTTGCTCCGTTTTTCTTCTTGGCAACCGGAGCTGCGTAAAGTCAAATCTCCACTGATGCGTATAAATTTCCGGCGTTTGACTTTTCGTTGCCTTTATTGTAATTATGTTTTTGTTTTTGAGAACAGTGTGAGAACACAGCTGAAGCCGCAGCCTGTAGGGAGGGATCAGAAGCACATTTGTCTCTTCTATTGTCTCTTGTCCTGAACTTTGAAATGCAATTCGGGGAGATAGATCTATAAAGATACACTAAATGCTGAAGCTGTAGAGCAATGAGGGAGATGAGTCCATCTGCAGACCCTGCAAATCTCACTTATATTGAGTTTAGGAGAAAAAACAAAGGCATGATTACGTTTGCAAAGAATTTGCTCCTTGGCCTCTAAAGAAATCCTGCAAATCTTGTGAGTCCGTCAGCATCATTTCAAGCATACATCCCTCTGAGGCACCGACATTACATTACGGTCTTAGTGGAAAGAACACTTATATTACCTGAGGGTGTATCTGCAAAGTTTATGGATTGTTCTGTCTCTTATCTAAAACATTTTAGCACACGCCTCCAATGTGAATTAATTTTACACGGTATCCAGCTCAGAACTTTGCGTTGGTATGTTGCTGCCCAGTCAGCAAAAAGCCGCTGAAAAATGTGGAATGCAAAACGTCCTACGAGGTATTTTACCCAAGCCTGTATCAGCAAAAAGGCATTTAGAAAGAATAAATACAATTTTTAAATCTGCTTAGTTGAAGCAAGTGTTTAAAAAAAGACTTTCATGGGAAATGACAAAACTGTACAAGACAAATGACTAAAAACCTGCACAGTTTTGTCTGATTCAGTGTTTATTTGGACAGCAGAGCTTGCAGACGAGTAGACGGTAAATAAGAAAGTAAAAGAACAAATTTAACTAAACTGTGAAAATAGTAAAATATACGTGCATTAAAACTTTGACAGAATAATTCACAGTGCACAGGTCCAATGTCGTCTCGGTGAGGTCGAGGTCATTTCAACGTTGTAAATAAATCTGTTATTGCCGCACCGTTAATCAATATAAATGATGCTCCTCCCAGCTCCTTGTCCTCTGCACTGATTCAGGTTATCACAGCGGGAAAGGACACCACAAAGGAAGTGCTGATAAGATTGTTCTGTTTGTATCCCCCAGATAAAGCCACGGCAAGAGCAGAGTTAAGACCAGACTGCTGCTCTGGCCGCAGATCGTTGACAGACATTAAAGCCGGCTCTAAAAACTGGGACTTACGGGAAAGAACAGCTCGGAACCGGGCAGATGCCGACATTAAAGCCCCGAGGATCAGGGGGAGTAGATAGGACTGCCAGCGGCGAGCTTTGTTTCTGACGCTGGATTGTTAAAAATGTCGCTATACGGTCATGGATCACTGTTATCCTCTTAATGAGCATCAAAAGTTCTTGCTGGTATTAAGTTGCAGCTCATAAATGCAACCTTTCATCTCCTCCTTGTGTGTGATTAATGATGATTTAATAAGAACAATGAATAAGATCCGTAAGAAACAACGCGGGGCTGCCTTGTCAGTGCTCTTCATGAAAACCATCCCTAACACTTTCCACATTCGCATATTGAACATTGCTGCCTAGTCCGCTCTGACTTTGTCCATCCTGTGCCTGCTTCGCCTCGAGCATGATGCATGGTTTGTAAGAGAGTCTGACTGGCTGACGGCCACTCAGACACCTGAGTCACAGAGGAAGGCAGAGGTCTGGTGAGTGAAACTGGAGAGCTTCATTGCATTACAGCACTGCAGGAGAGATAACGCACGACGATAAAGTGCCTTGAGGGGAAAAAAGAGAGGCCTTCGCGAGATGGCAGCGATAAGGCGGCATGAACCGGCAATAGTAACTCAATATGATTTCTATCTGCAGAGATAGATCAGGAAGGCCACTTGTCGGGTTCATCACATCTTAATGAGTAACAAGTGAGTTCATTTCAATGCGTAATATTTGTCTCCTGCAGCAGACACAACTATACAGGCACATGTATAAGACTTACTGGGTGGAAAACACAACTTTATTTTTGCAACCTAAAAACACAGCCGCTCTCTGATTAAGCAATAAAGCAATCACCAGAAGAATCTGTAGCTGCAGGGACTGAATCAATACGACCAGACTGCTGCTTCCTGCCCCGCAGCATCTGCACAGATAAGCCCTCTTATCACCCGCTCTCATAAGTTAGATTTGCTTGTATATAGGCACACACTCGCTCAGAAAACACACATGCAGAGCAGTACTCGCTCCCATATGTTGGAGGTTTGGGGGGGTGGCGGTAGGGTGGGAGTCGAGTAAAGGAGGGAGGGATCAAATAACTAACAGAGTCCCACAGCAACACACGGGCGTCTTCTGGAATCACTCTTCAGGTGAGGAATTCTCAAATCAAGGAAAAGGAGGCGAACAAGTCTGACTCAATCCCGAGACAGAAAGACCTCCCCAGACCGTTACCTCCATGCTGCATGAAGGTGGAGTCATTCAGGGGTAGAGAGAGAGAGAGAGAGAGAGAGAGAGAGAGAGGGAGAGAGAGAGAGAGAGAGAGAGAGAGAGGGAGGGAGGGAGGGAGAGATGAGGAGAGAGCGAGAGGAGCAGGGCAATAGAAGAGGACAGATGGATTATCTGACATGCGCCTGGATTGACCAACGTTCCTATTTAAGTCTTGAATCCTGTTTTTCCTCCTCAGAGTAAAACCTGAAAACGCCTTCCTGCACACGTGGATTCTAGCAGCTTTTGAGCAGGTAGACGGAGCGATGCGTCCTGTTTTATTTCACTGGAACTAAAGAGTTTTTTTTATTTCTGCAAACTTTATTCTTGGATATCAAGAAACTGTCTATTTTTTGGGATTTTTTTTTTTCTCTTTCTTCTTCTTCTTCTTTTTTTTTTTAATGAAATTGAGCAACTGCCTGGAAATACAAGGGCCACCACTGGAGCAGCCAAGACTAATAGTTAAAATTTCACAAACAATTTAGAAAGAATTAGAAAACACAAGGCTAGTGGGGAAAAACAGAGGTTTGTTACTGGAATGCACACGCAGCAGTCGGTGTTTTGTGTGTGTTTTGTTTATGTAATCTTTGTTCATTCAGACTGATTTATTTTTCCAAAACCGACTTGGACTGCACACTTTCTGACAATCAGCCTAAAAGCCCTTCAACGGTGGAAAAGGGACCTCAGTGGAATATCAGCTCAAAGAGACTCGTTGAACAGATAATAACATCCGTCAAGAGGGAGATTTAAGAATTTCACTCACATACTGAATAATCTGGACTCTGCAGAGGGACCATCTCACCCAGTCTGGACTGTGGAGGGCTCCCCTCCCTGCCCTCCCAGTCTATCCTCGACCCCAGCAGCATGTCCCAGGCTCTGAGGCTGCCTCTAGTCCTCCTCACAGCACACTACCATGACCAGATGGGCTGCTGGAGGGAGTAAGGCTGCCTCTGCCTCGTCCTGCTCCAGGCCTGGGTTAGGGTCTCGTTTAGGCTCTGGGGCCAGCTCCAGGCTGAGGTCCTCAGCGCTGCTCACCTCCCTGTCTTTCCCTGTGCTGGTCACCCTGGTGGTTTTCTCCCTGTCTTTACCCGAGGCTGCCTGCCACCAGCTCCGCAGAGACCGACTGAGGCTCGCCAGCCCGCGAACACTCAGGGTGCCGCAGAACATTTCCGAGACCGAACCGATCTCTGGACCCAGGGCCACCGGAGGCCCCGTGGGTCGGACCGGGGGAGCGCAGGGGAGGCATGTGCGCAGCTACACCCACCTACAAGGGGACATACGGAGGAGGAAGCTGTTCTCGTTCCAGAAGTTTTTCCTGAGGATTGATAGGAATGGAAATGTGAATGGAACCAAGAGCAAGGATGACCCCTTAAGTAAGTAACTCACTGAGCACATTACTGCAATAAAATAAAATAAAATGGGTAAGTCAGATCATATCAGAGGTCTGGTACTCTGTAGTGGCTGCAAAACTAAAGTAATCCTGCCCAGTGCTAATTTGGGTGGAAAAAACTTTAACATTTTACACCACCGGCATAAAATCAGGGCTTTTAATCTCTCCAACCAAACCTTCTGCTCTGTTCTGGCATTACACATAACAAAAAGCACCTGCTGATTGCTCAATTCTGGCACAAAAACCCTCCTAAATGTTTACGGTTTTCCCACTTCAGGAAATCAGGTTTTGGAACATTAACTCTGCACCAGCACACACACACGTACATAAAGTGGATGTACGGATATACAACTTGGCAGAAACATCAGTAAAAGCCATATTTCTTCTTCCATTTCCAGGGACCACCAGCCTGCTCAGCAGCTGGTTGGTAATTTGGGAGAAGCATTCACCAATTTGAGTCCCCTTTTTTTGTTTTAAACCAGACGTCCCACAGATATCTCTCCTGTCCAAACACTCGGCACAATGATGGTAGCTCTCAGATGGTTTAAAAAGGAGCAGGAGCAGATAACCCCGCCATTATCAGGCCGTCTTCACAGCCCAGGGTAGACAGCGCTGATAACGGCCACAGAAGAACAGGGACTGGGAGGCGGCGGCGGAGGGGTGGAGGGGGAGGAAGGAGGAGGATATGAATGTCAGCCTCATTGATGGCTTTCTCGACTCTCTTTCTCCGGGTCTGTTGCTCACTCTCCCACTCAGATTGCCCTCCTTGCCAGCCGGCATCAAGCAAATTACACACCCTCAGTCCCAGATGAGACATTTGTTTAAAGCAGTTTGACGTGCTCGCTCAGAGAAACGTGTCTTTAGAGTGATTACATGTTGTATGTTTCAGTATATCAGTCAGTAAAATAGCATTCTCATTAGTCTCCCAGCGTTCCCACTGAGCTACGTGTGTGTGCCTATCAGCCAGCAGGCACTCACATGCTCCAGTGGGTGTGTGATCATATAGTAGCCAAAGACGACACATGTGCTCGCTTATTACTGACACACACACACACACACACATATATATATATACACATCTCCCTCATTGTCACATGTTTCTTTTCTCCCTCTTTCTCCTTGTTCCTGATCCCAGTAGTGAGGGTATATATATGGAACCTTTAATGTTCCTCTTGGGACAGCTAAACCACACATTCAATCAAAGTGACTTAAGGGGAAATGGCACGGGGAGGCAGAATGTCAGGGGAGATGTTTGTTTTGACAAGGTCATGACAGAAGCAGCTTTATTTCCTGACCATATTACACAGCGATGCCTTTACTGCTGTCTTTGTTGGGAGTTTCTTTTAAGCTGTAAAACCGAAATTGTGCGAGAAAGTCTGACTCGGTTTATCATAGCAGCGGCAGTGTGAAACCGCCGTAAAGTTTATGTATATTTGACGGATAATTTACCCCTCTGTCTGTCTGTCTGTCTTTTTTTTTTTTTACTGGCTCACAAATTCACATTTTTAAGGAGCGTGTTGCCTTTTGCAAAAAAGTCAGGATGAATTAGCACGAGGGAGGGAGGTGAAAGGGAGATCCTCCACAGGTACAAGTTCATGAATGACATGGCTGAACATCATTGTGGCCACATCAAAGCTGTGCATCTTCAGTATCAATGGTGGTGCCATCAAAAAGCTGTGTCCTAAGGGGGTCTGGGGACACTGTGTGTGGATTATGTGCCCTCATATCAGGTTCACAAGGTAAAGGATACTACACAACAGCAGCTTCAGTCTTTGCTCTGGCCCCTGGGGCTAGACATGATCCCCGGACTGACGTCCTTTGTAGACCCTTGATGCTCCCTTGAAGTGACAAAATATCACTTTTTTTGTGTGTTTTGTTTTGTTTTTTACACTGAGTGGAGGACGGACAGCCTTTCCTACAACCAGACAAGACACACTGCATTTAAGTTTTATGATTTAGGAATTTGTACGTTCATCAGACCTGTCTAGGAGCGGGTTGTGGGGTGTGCAGGCTTTGGTTTTGGGTGCTGCCTGTGGCCCTGCAAGGACCCGGCTCACTGTCTGTTAAAGAGCCAGTATCCAGCCTCCCACAGATTTATGGGGATGCCAGTGCAAAACTGTCCCACATGGCTTTCCAACCCGCTGTGAGCCTGTGCTGAGGTTACAGAGAGAGAAGGGAGGCAGATTATGTTAAAGTCAGCTAAGTAGCTATCTGCATACCTAAGTACGTAATTAAAATATCTATGATTCACAGCTGAGTTCTCTTAAATTTATAGACAGCTCACAGCTCTGAGTGACTACTGAAATATTGCTGATTAAGACTTGGGCAAAGACTTGGCGGTAAAAGAGTAAAGAGGCTAATTATCCATGTCTGTGATGGTGTGAGAGTGTGAGCCTGTCAAGACTGTGTGTGTGTGTGTGTGTGTGTGTGTGTGTGTGTGTGTGTGTGTGGTGTGTGTGTAGGAACACACCAGTTGTTTCTGTGCTGCAGGGGCCAGGTCATGTGTGTGCAAGACTCATGTAGCTAAAGAAGTGTATATGGCTGTGGATGTGTGTGTGTGTGTGTGTGTGTGTGTGTGTGTAAGTGTGTATGTTAGTGCACATTCATCTCCTTTAATCAAAGCAGTGGCCTTTTGCATGGCAAAAAACAGATGGTGCTCTTATGGAGGTCTGAGGAGGGAGATGTATAGCTTTTCTCAGAGGTGGGGAAAAAGCTGGATCTCCCTTCTATGTAAATACACTCAGTGTGGTCCTTATCAAGTGTTATTACCATATATCCTGATTTACGCCTCACTCCACACCATTTTTCTGCACGGGAATGGCAACAATTGAAATTGAAATTCCGACTTATCTGTCCAGATGTTTTTTTTGTGCAGACCAGAACATCTATTTAAAAATGTGCCAAAGCAAGAGTGAGAAAGAATAACACAATAAGCTGCAAAGCACATGCTTTTTGGCATCCCACTGTGGAAAAACCGCCTTTAATTCTCACTGGCATCATGTGCCTCGATTCCACAACCAACGCACCATTTACTGTTGTAACTCCAAGCAGAGCGTATCAAATAAGCCACACATTAGGAAAAAGCAAGCAGCATGCAAAAGCAAAACTGCTGTCTCCCCACTTCAACAGCTGAAGCTGGCTGGCACACGCTGGGCTACATTTTGCATATTGGATGTGTAAAATGTGCAAAACAATCACTGAGACATTTATGTTGTAATCTGGAGAGAGTCAAACGAAGAGCATGTTTTCTGTTATGTGGGTCAAGCTGAGCACTGAGCCAGTCAGCAGAGAGCAGTGAGTGGAGATTTAGTTTAAGTCTGCAAGTTCTGTGCAAGTGCACATTCACCTGCTGCAACATTTACTGTGTGTGTGTGTGTGTGTGTGTCTGTGTGTGAGAGAGAGTGCATTAGTGCATGTGCATGTGCATGTGTGTATATACAACCTGTCTCGCCCCTGCCTCCGGTGGCTGACTTTGATCAGTGATCATTACAGCCTTTCTAATCCTCACTCCACCCCCAGTCTCACTGTCATGGCTCCTCTGTCCTCCTCTGTTCTCCTTCCTTTCATCCCTCCCATGTTTACAGAGCAGCCAGAGACTGCCATAGATTGTCTTACATCCTCACTCCATACCCGACATCCGATCCCATACAGAAACCATCTCCTCTCAGATCTTCAATGGCCGTTGTGTCACAGTCCCCACCACCGCCTTGCAGCCTCAGACCTCACTGCCCCGAGGTGCCACTGTTTGAACTAGAAACTGATACAGTCAAGACCTCACGGACGAGGAGAGAAGCTGCTGTATATTTAAGAGCGGGATTGTTCTTTGGGGGCACACCTGCATCCTCCGCTGTCCACTCATGTACCGGGCTGGCAACCCCAGAGGCCCCCCAGCTACTGGAGAGTGGGTCTGACAGTAGAGCAGGGTGCCACACAAACAGTCATCAGACAGAGGAGGGGCCGCCGATCTGATCAAAGCATGTCGTCGACTCTGGAGTTCACGCCCCCACGCTGAAGTGTGTGTGTGTGTGTGTGTGTGTGTGTGTGTGTGTGCATTCACATATGTGTGCTTATTGGGATACAATAACGACAGCTCACAGGAAGAGGGGAAAGGAAGTCAGGGAGGGCGGCATGAAATCAAACATGCCATGGGAACCAGTGGGGTTCATGCACACACACACACACACACACACACACACACCGGCATAAGACGAGACAAGTGGGTTCTGTGGTCAAAGGACACATTAGGAAGTTATATCTCTCCGACCTCTGATACTGAGACCACACAAATAACCACAGCTGTCTGCAGCAAAAACATGCCCTTGTTAACTGAGGTATAAATTAACCCTGCTAATAGCCTATGAGAAACCTGAATTATTTGTATAGGGACTTGGAAACCCTAAATACCAAACAGAACATAAACAACCTGAGAATCTCCGTGGAATCCACCTATTAATTTTAAACTAAATGACCTGCGCAGCTGGAATCTGTTACACAGGTGTAGGCCGTAAAGCAACTTTATAATATCACAGAAATGATAAATGTGCTCCAGAATAATTGCAGCCTTACTCAGAATTCCCACACATTCCCACATGCAAATGCAATGTTTCTCACCATTACACTGACGTCTGTAAAAGTTCTCCCAGTCTGGCAGGTTCCTCTGTAGTCTTGTTTACAGCAACAAGCAGTCGGGAAACATTCAGCGATGGCAGAAGGGGGCTTTTATGCTTTTTCTAAATGTTGACGCATACTGATGTAACCTTCTTTTTGCTGAATCCTAGGTATTCTGGAAATCACATCAGTGGACGTGGGAGTGGTGGCCATCAAAGGGCTGAACAGCAACTACTATCTGGCTATCAGCAGGAAGGGAGAGCTGTACGGAGCGGTTAGTATCCGAGTCACGGGTCAATCTGGATGCTCCAGAGAGCGAGAGATAGTGTTAGATTCTTCGGTCCTTATCAAAAAGAAGCCTTATCTTTACTTCTCTAGCTGCCCGAATCACAACCAGGCCAGCGCACACATGGGAACCTCTAGCAGAGCTATGCAATTTTCAAAGTGCACTCCAGTCCCTTCACTTGCACACACAGAGCAAAGCATGCAGCGTAGATTGAGGAGTAGTAAATGGTACCATGCACGACCACAGTGGATTCGCACAAGAAAATGATCTGTGTTTTTGCCTTAACCTCACACGTCGGGGTTAAAACACTGAAACATGATACGTGCTGTTTTTCCAGAGAGAGTTTGGCGACGACTGCACCCTGAAGGAGCGGATCCAGGAGAACGGCTACAACACGTACGCGTCGGCCAAGTGGAGGAACAAGAACCGGCAGATGTTCGTGGGCATAAACGTGCACGGGAAGCCGATGAGAGGGAAGAAAACCCGCCGGAAGAACACGACGACGCACTTCCTTCCGATCATGGTGTGACCCGGAGAGCTCACCTGACAGAGGGAGAATACGCAGCACTGGACAGACAGAGAGGTTTTCAATGCCGACGAGCTGTAAAACAAAAGACTTTGATTGAGAAATCTCTCGTTTGGAAAAAAGGAACTAACACTGTCATACAAACGAATGGTCTCTACTCCTGACTTTAAGTGAGATCATGCATTTGTGTTTGTTGGGAGCAGGTCGTATCTGTGTTTTCAGTGGCACAGAACGCAATGTTTGTCCTTTTTTTTCTGTGCCAAACAGTTTGCAGCTGGAGTATGTGTGTGATGTGGACAACACGGAAGATTCTGGCCTAGCTAACGAACTGTAGAGGATGCAGAAGTATCTCGAGATGTTATTTATAATCCATATTCTCCGGTGAGACGCGTAAAAGGAGGAGGGTCGGTCAGTTTATCATGACAGCATTAAACGATAGAGAATACAACACATTTTAAACAACTGTTTGATACGTAACCACTGTGTTTTGACTGAATTTTAATGATTTATTTATTTTGTGAAATATTTAACTGGAGGGGAACACAAGAAAAGCTTTGCATTATTTACTTTTTATAGGAATGCTATTATGTGAAAATAAATTCTCCCCTCTGCAACATGGTGGTAGTTCTTCCTTTGCACAACAACAAAGATTTAGAGAGCTGCAGGAAAATGGTAAATCTAAGTGCTGAGAAACCCTGGTGAACGTTCGGGTCATGGTGAGTCTGTTCTTATCTGGCTCTCTGAGGTAGGAAGGGACAAAAGGCAACCATTAATGCCTAGCCAGATATTCCATGTGGCAACCATTGCACTAATGATTAGTTCCCAAACAAACGGGAAACATACAAGACCGACCACAACAAAATGGGAGGGAGGCAGCTTCCCTGGTATGGCCTGTAGATGCTGACATCATTTCCTAAGATCGCCCCATTACTGTGGAAGCTGCAACATTCCCCCCGATTGCGGGAGGTAGATATCTGCTGAAGCACCTGCTTATAATACTGGCCAAAAAAAATAAAATTATGAAACAGCTTTGTCATGTAGGTCTGCATCACCGCTGCCTACGGGTTCGTGGACGGCCTTGGAAGAGGATCTGAACGTGTGTGCGGGAGGAAAGAGAGATATGACCTGCGCCTGACCACCCACTTCCCTCAGTAATCATCTGCAAACACACTAATCAATGACAGCTGCCTTGATGCCAGATCAAAAGACTGCGGGGAGAACATTAACACCACAGGCTTCCGGGCCTCATGTTCTCTTATCCTGCCTTTTAGAACATCTATCTGGAGACAGGCATGAAAAATTGGGAGAATGGCGGAAGACGGTTGGATGAGAGAAGGCATGCGAGGCCTTCACTCCCGTCTAGGTTGGTGCTGTGGCTGCAGATTTGAAGGAGTGAAACCGACAAAAGCGATCTGAACTTTAGGAATCCGGTGTGCAGGAAAAGAATTTCCTTAAAGCTATAATATATTGTACTTAATGATCACCGCGACGAATGATTAATACCGAGGAATGCTGCGGCGCATTCCACCATGACAGTCAGGGCCGATAGCAACATATGGAGTGTTGTTTCACGATCATCTCCGCACCGTGAGCAGCACCGTCTATTACATGTTCTCTGCCCACATAAGTAACTGCTAAATATGGTGTGACTGGTGCACCCCCGAGGCCAGACTCACAAAAGTGTCCTGAGGATAAATGTTTAGACGAAGCTCAACATGTTCCGAATTAATTTAAATGTAAATATTTCGATGTCTTTCTTAAGTGTTTACAGGGAGTCTTTATGTAATTTACTACTATTTCCGATTACAAACTAAACATTGCATACACACTATGAGGGCTAATTTGGTTTCTGGTATGAAACAGCACCACATACAGTAGCACTGTATTCTCCTGCTTGATTAGCTTTTAATCGCTCTGTATGTGCAGACGATAAATAAACAGGGATGTAACCTACACAAAGTGCACCGCTAACACCACACGGTCACACACATGCACAGACACACACACACTTCAATCCAAGTCATTTGTCATCTTCTGCATTCCCCGATACTTGTGAATGTTTGAACTCCCTCCAAGACACTGGCAAGGGGGGGAAAAACAGCAATAACACAAAATAGGTGCAGTAATCTTTCATCAAAGCGGGTCTCTGCATTTCTGGCACGGGAATTCTCTGTGGCATAATGTGATCCAGCTTTGGGAAACAAGTGGAAAATGACTGGAGGCTAAAACAACTAATGAATACTTACACCGAGATGTCTGGTGCAACACATGTTTCGTAGTGGGCAGCTACTGGGTGAGCTCGGGGAGAGAGGCACTTCTGAGGGGGTTTCACGGGTCCACAAGCGTTTTCTGGGACGGATAAATACGGGTCTGACTTCCAGGCCTTGGTGCTTAGGAAAATATTCTAAATCAATACGAGGTCCATCATTACATGTTCGTGCTATGCAGACAACCGCCGCTTAAAGCCACAAACAGAGCAGTAGCTTACGCTGCTGACAGAGGTCGTGTCCTCAGTATTTATCCTGGGAATCTAGTAGCTTTAACAAACCTGAGCCTGAGTTTACATAGAATGACATGTTAAGACCTTTTTCCTTTCAGCTGATTAAATAGATTTGTTCTACAGTATTTATAAGTATGTAAGTGATTTAGTAATTCTTCAAAACAACATTTAGGCCTTTACACGTAAGGAAAAAATGAAACTGATCAATATTATGGGAGCTTCATTTACAAGTGGGGCTAGGATTTTCTTTGTAAAATCCCTTTACTGCTGATTTAGTTTTCCAGTGAATCTCAAAAAGGTGAAATAAATAAAAAAGGACAAAGCACTTTAAGATACTCATATAGTCTTCTAAAATAAATTATGTAAAATAAAATTTAATAAAATCACAAATAATAAAATATTAAATTAAATTAAATTAAATTAAATTAAATATAAAGCACACAAACTACTTTCTCCACACCGTTGCTGTGTGACTGTGTGTGTGAATGGGTGAATGAGAAACACATTGCTCAGCGCTTTGGGAGTGTGGACCATTTACCATCTTCCACTTTTCTGACCATCTCTCCACAAAGGTTTTGTACAAAAACTGTTTAAATCATGAGCCAAAAATCCGAACCACTGTACGTAGTTTATGCATCCATAAAAAGTCCCATTTCCAAACAACATCTCTGCGTTTTGGCTGGTTTATTTACCCAATGCAAGCAAGACAACAAAAGAACAGAGAATCATGCCTCTCTTGCTCTGCTTCCTTCATAATAGGCCCTCACTGGTGCAGATACACAATGAAATGCTCACAGTGCTACCCTGTGCTTATAAAATAGAAAAAAACAAATAATAAACTAGCTAAAACAAAAATGAAAGTAAAGAAATAACTAAAAAATAGAACAAACACTCACATTCTAATTATTAAACACCAGAGTAAGAAACAGCTCCTACATAATGAGCTTCTACAGATAACCTAATATGGAGGCCTATTTGTTTACTGTGCTATTTACTTTATTAATAATTTAGGTGAATAAGCTGAATAATCTTCTTTCCACCACTGATGACGCCAGCTTGTGTTTTTGTCCTGCGCCTTGTGTTGCTGCGCTTCCACTCCGCGCCGCTAGAGGGCGGCCGTTATATTTTAATATCAAACATTGTCACAGATAATCAGTGACAGTAAGTTTGTTGTTAAAGGAAGTAGACTGAAAAAAAAAAGAAAAAGTTGTGTAGCGTTAAATACTGTGACACCAGCCGAACGAGAAAAAGAGCACCATGAAAGAGAGATAGGGTGTGTTTTCACTGCGATTCAACCCGAGCAGCTACCGCCAAACGAAAGCAAAAGCAGGCGGCAGGTAGCAGCGCGTCCCTCCGTCTGCTTCAGATGCTGTTTTGAGAGTCGCGGCTGACAGCGAGCAGTCATGAACGACAATTTCGACCGAGCTCCCGGAGCGGGGAGAACCCGTAATCTTCCACCGAGCCCCGGGTTTGCTGGCGGCGGTGGCGGCGGGGAAGCTGATGCCAAAACGACGTTTTTCAACCAAAGGGAGCCGCTGAGGCAGCCGCGGACGTCCCCGCCTTTCACCGAGAACAACGTTAGCGCGACCAGCGACATGGTCTCCGGAGGTAGGAGGCTGCCGAGCTGCTAGCGTCAACAGTCACTGGGCTCGGCTAAGCTAGCTGCTTTCAGATTCGGTTTTTGTGTCCGTGTCGTCAGCTGACACGGAGAACGAAGGGCGAAACTGTGTTCACCTGAATCGAAAGTTAAGATTTCCTCCTGCTGATATTGTTCTCCGTGGAGCGCCGGAGGGTTTAACCCGAGCTAAATCTGGACCTGTCATTAGCTGGCTAGCTAGCTGCTAAGTGCCAGATAGCCTTAGCATGTTGGCGCTGCGACATGCACTTGTTGGATTGTTATTTCACGGTGAGCTAATGATGCATCTAAATAAAGCTCCCACTCAGATGTCACATAGTTGGCCACCTATGAGCCAGGGCTGGGGCTGCACCTCCCGGCTGAAGTGTGTGTTTGCAGAGCTAACCTTTGCTGCAGCTAATCTGGCTTTAGGTTGAAGCTGCAGCGCAGGGCAAAAGGGGAAGAAACCGTTTCCCTTCAACGTCTGATCGAGGGGCTCAATTTATGGAGCAGAAGGGAAATTAATCACCGATTATTTTTTAATTCTTTGGGTAACTCATCAATCAGAATGAATGAAGTGTGTGCATGATTAGAAGATCTGTTGTGATCTTTTACCTGAGATTAATTTCCTCACCTGTTTGATAGATAAAGCTTGGGAACATCAGTATGAGCCAGAACCGTGTTTTTTTTTTTTTTCTTTCACTCCATACCCGCAGATCACAGGCAGCTTGATCCACTACTAGCTGGGATGACAGCCAACCAATCACAGGGATTGCTCCATGACACTGACATGCTGTGTCTCCCAGCTGCCTGTCCAGTCTGACCTTAACCCGAATGAAGCCCAAGAAGATTCTAGGTGTTTTAAGTCCTGCCCGTCTATGAAAACAGCCAAACCGTGGCTGAAATTAGACAAATTAGTTCTATTTCTGCAGTAAGACACAGTTACGAAGCTATAAATGATTAAAAAGTTGAATTTCTTCAGTTATTTATTTTACAAAACTTGAAAAAACCCTACGGCTGCGAGGTGGCTCGGTGGGTAGAAGGTCGCCGGTTCACATCCCGGTGAGGCCATCCACTTCTGTGTGGAGTCTCCATGTTCTCCCCGTGCAGCGTGGGTTCTCTCCGGGTTCTCCGGCTTCCTCCCACAGTCCAGAAACATGTTGAGGTTAATTAGTGATTGTAAATTGTCTGTAGGTGTCAATGTGAGTGTGCTTGGTTGTCTGTCTCTAAGTGTAGCCCTGTGATAGACTGGTTACCTGTCCAGCTGGGATAGACTCCAGCCCCCCCGTGGCTACCCTAGTGAGGATTAAGCGCTGTATAGATAATGGATGGATGGATGAAAAAACCTAGAATCGCTATGTACTACTTGTTTTTTTCCAGGAGGTGTTGCCAAACCTGGACAAAAACATGTGGTTCTACATAGTATGGATGCTTTGCTGCTCACTTACTTTTACAGCCTCTGCAAACCAGATGCACGTCAACACCAGAGAGATATTTGACCGTGTGGAATGTATCTTCTAACAACTTGCTCCTCTGTGCACCTCTTGTGATCCATGCCACATTTTGATCAAGTACATATTGTGTTTTTTTCTCAGTCAATGCGACTGTTGGTCCCCCCTCAGTCAGTCATGGCTTCTCACAACCACACAACAAACAAGATTAGTTCAAGGACCACCAGAAAGCTGAAAATCCATCCAGTGATTCTTTCTGTTTTTACAGTTTCTGGCTCAGACAAATGGCACAGAGTTAAAATAAATAACTAAATAAAAAGACAGCGTGCCTTTCAAATCCCCCAGTGGGTTTTGGGGTTGAGCGAGTAAAGCAATAAGTCGTCAATATTATCAATGCATGAAGCCCTCGGTGCTCACAGCAGGACTATAGTTAGCTCTGTGTTGCAGAAATCATGTGTCTTGCTCTGCGCTGTGTTGTATTTTTGCACACAACCATCATTAATGTACTGTTGTTGTCCGTTCACGGTGGATGTCTGTAACGTCCTACGTCTCAGATTGCTTGTTGATGCTTTTCTGTTCAGTCACATATATTTTATGGTATTTTTTGTGTTCACTCTGCAAACAGTTTCCCTCCAGGATTAGTCAGAATTTTTCTTTCTGTCATCAAAAATCTTTAAAAACTCTAAAACTTGCAGTGACAATGTGATCCTACCAAGAACCAGGAGTTATATTCAGAGACTGATGTAGCTCATTTCTGTCTCACTTGTTGCCCAAACACTGTTATAAATATATCAGTGCACGACAACGTTGAACTAACTTGTTCCTTTATTGCCATGAACTGCAGTTTATTTCAAGTCAATCCCACATTTGTCATCCTGCTTCTCTAAATAGTCACCCTCTTAAAGTTGTCCCCAGTTTTAGTAACATTTGCACATAAATACCGAAACGAGCTGTTTTATAAGTTTGCTGTTTTGAAACGAAAATGCACATTTCTGTCCCAAACTGGAAGATGGTGTGTGAGGAAGTATGACAGCAGCTACAACATGGACTCTTATCTGTAAAAAAAAAAAACAATTTGGTATCACTTATAACAGCTGCATTAAACAAAGCTTTCTCTTCCAGACTGCAGAAGACAAAACAAACCCCAACAAAGTGCGAATGCCAACAATACGCCCGTCTCCAGAGGGTTTAACGACGTGGATTCCTTGGTCAAGTCGTCAAAGCTTTCGGCCAGCGCTCCAGAGTTTGTCCCCTGTGGAATAAACACGTATGAAGTGAGAAGAATTTTTACGCCGTCGCCACAACGTTTTATAGTGATGTTAGGTTCTGCTTTCAGTGCTGGATTTACTTTGTTTCACTGTGATTTTTGTGCAGGATCCCGCTTGTTATGACGACAGTGAAAGGTATTACGGCGAAGCAACGCTGGCTGACATGGTCACAGACTTCCTCGGACACCTGAGCTCCTCACCGGGCTCCTTTGAGTCGGATATTGATTACATAACCGCGGTTCTCAATGACTGGGTCACTACTGAAGAGCTGTTGAAGGAGCTGGTGGAGCTGATCTATACACAGGTCGGGAGATGCAAACTGTCCTCATTCATTAATATGAACCTAGCCCTGCCTCAACGCTTTCTTCTGACATAAGGTGCCCCACTGATTCAGTTTTGTTTCCATTGCAGTCGACTGCCATTCCAAACTTCTCCTACACTGGCGCCAGGCTCTGTAACTATCTGTCGCATCACCTCAATATCAGCCCACCGAATGGCAACTTTCGTCAGCTGCTCCTGCAAAGGTATTTTTTTATTTTAATGCCCCCTGAATTTTCTGTTGTTGTTGTTGTGTTTATATCAGGCTTGACAGGAGCTTCGAACAGCTGGAAGCAGTAAAAAAAATGTTGGCAGCATTAGGAGTAGAAATCCTGGTACAGTCTGAGTCAATAGAAATATAAAAGCTACTGAATAGAGGGGCTGAGCTCAACAGTGTAGTAATTTATTGTTTGGATTGCCGTTAAATAACGTCAGAATGTCGTCTGCTGTAGATGTCGAAAAGAGTATGAACAAAGGGATGCAGCCGTTCGGGGAGATTTGGAGACTCAGAAGAAATTCCATTCCTTCGTGCTGTTTCTAGGAGAGCTCTATCTTCATCTGGAGGTGAGAAGCTGCACTTATTCTCTGCATTGTCGTGACAAAAAATGCCTTTTTAGTGCACTGCCTCACAGACAGATACAGCTTCATATAGTTAGGAAAATGATATATATACATATATTGTTGCTCTTGTGTGGAGCACAGACTTTGCAGGTTTATTTATAAGCTGCCAATATTGGAATAGTTTTCTGCTTTTTCATTTTTTAACATTTTAAATGTTTTTGTTCAGATAAAAAGTGGGAAAGGACCTCCAAAGCGAGCAGACATCCTCCTCACGGGCCTGAAGGACCTGATGACCAGCCTGTTCTCTAACCCCGTGGATGCAAATCTCATCTGCGCTGTCAAACTTCTCAAGGTGTCACAATTTACCTGCATATGCACATTACAAACCTGTATGAAAACTCTTCCAGATGTTTCTGTCATTTAGGGGGGAAATGAGAAAGTGTTTTTTTTATATTTATAGTTGACAGGATCTGTCCTGGATGACGCATGGAAGGAGAGTGGAAAACCACACATGGAAGAGCTGATCCGCAGAATAGAAACTATTCTACTGGATGCTACCTGCAGCAGGTGTGTAGATCAACACGCTCAGTGTCATCGGAAACGTTAGGGTTTAATAACGAAGGTGTCTGTGAGTATAGCTGTACTGAAGGATCATCCGTCATCAGAAAGCTTTGGGAGAAACGTTCTTTTCCAAAACTGACTCAAGTATATACTTCAAGAGATTTTCATTTCAGAGTTTTTGAGACGACTGGGATTGAAACTGATTCCTACAGTCGTACAGTTTGAACTTCTGAGCCATCAGTAACCGTCATTTAAAAGTTCAGCCATAAAGTTACAGCCAGTAAAAGCACAACAGGTTAGAATCCAAGTGTCAGAAACAGCCTGGATGAAACTTTATCTGATGTTTTCCTCCTCAGAGATGTGAGGCAGATGCTTCTGAAGCTCGTGGAGCTCAGATCCAGTGACTGGGGCAGAGTTCGTGCTGCTGCAGCCGCCAGCAACGCCACTCCAGAAAACGACCCCAACTACTTCATGGTGAGTGTTCGCTGTGCCGTACGCCCCGTCTTCCTGCTGTTCTTTTGTTTTTACTGTCGATGCATTTCTGTTTCTCGTGCTTTGGTTTGTCCCTCTTAGAATGAACCTACGTTCTACACAGAAGATGGCACTCCTTTTACAGCAGCTGACCCAGGTGAGTCCATATGAACATGGCCATGCTGTAATAACAGAGATGAAAGCCAAATAAATGTTTTCTGTGTAGTTTAGGCATAAAAATGGAAACAAGACTTATGCAATACATTTGTCTATTTTTTGTTCTTGCATCCTAACCTGTGACGTCTGTTTTTGTTATTATAATAATATATAATAATTACTTTGCTTTTTAAATGCTACTATAAGCCATGCTCCCTTCAGAAAGAAAATCAAACCTCTTCTATATGTTTAGCTGTTTGTAATGTTGTGAAATATATGCATATTGCAATCATGTAGAGACAGGTAATTAAAACTTAATATGTCAGCCATGTGCACAGTTTGGTTTTGGTAACAGACAGTGCAGTACTACTCAGTGCAGTCAGAGTTGATAGAAACACATTCATGTTGTTGCTACTTATAAAGAAGTTGTATGATTTTAAAATGACCACATGACACCAATTTAAATGCACATTCAGTCTTTTTAAATCACACAGCAGCTGTTTCTTTTAGCTATTAGCAAAATAGCTCCAAATATTGTTGTAACCAGTTTGACTCCTCTTCACTCTCCTCGACCATGTTCATTTAAATATCTGAGAAAAGCACCCCACTGCTTCATGCTCCAGTCTCTCTTGTGTCTGAATGTTTCTCTTTTCACAGAATATGCTGAGAAGTACCAGGAGATCCTGGACAGGCAGGACTACTTCAGTGATACTTATGGAGAAAACGGGAATGATGAGTAAGTACACGATGTTTATATATGAAATGATATAATTCAGTGTTCACTTTACGTGCTGATGTATTGATGGCTGTTGCTATAACCACCAAATGTGTCTGGTAGTAGCATATCTGGAATACCTTGTTTTAGTGCTGCTCGTATTTCACGGCGCTTGGCAGGCAGCTACAGCGATGCTCTGAGCGTCCAGCGGCCCTTCAGGTGCCACGTGAAGAATGATTCCCGGTGAACTGATATGATACAGACATCAAGCTTCAAATTTGAGTGTACAGCGTTAATTTAATATCCTCCTCACTCCTTGACAACATGCCCACATGGTGTTTTTAACGTGCTGGAGGACGCATCATGAGCCGAATCAGCAGTCAGCGCTCTGGCTGAGCATTTCCACTGTGAAACTACCGACTGACGCCCCTTAAAAACTCAAACTTCAGGATTTCATACGTAACAAACCAGAGTAACAGATCCTGTCAGCTAGCAGCGTGAGGCTTTGTGTCACATTTTTCGAACACGTATGACGGAATTACTCCAACTTTTCATTGTGCAGTTTTCTAGCATTTGAGCCGTCATGGAAGGTCTAGAGGTTTTCTGAGCTACAGCAAGTGGAGAGACAGGCAGGGGCTTCATAGATCTGTGTTTTATAGAGGAGGCAGCAATGTAGAGCTACAGCTAAGCCATTTTAAAGCAGGAAGGGATTATTTTTTATAGAAAAAAATACTACTAAATACATAACTTCTGTACCTGAGACCTCCTGCTGCTCATATGTTAGTTATTTTCTAGGTCATCAATTCATCGTGTCGCTCACATCACAGACTAAAAGTTCAGCAGTGCCACCCTGCAGGTGCACCTTTGGTCACGTGACCGCACGGTACCTTCAGCAGACGAGTCACATGACCCCGACACGCCGACCTGTGGGCCCCTGAGCTCGGCCAATGTGTCTGACCGGCCCCACAATGCAACAGGGTTGACCAGCGCCTCAGATTCAGTTTAGTCAGCAGTTGGGTGTGAAAGAGGGCTTAACTCGCTCCTGTCTTCTCTCTCAGAACTGTGTGCGTCTGTAAGCTTGTGTTTTTGTGCGTGTGTGTGTTCAAACGGCAGCTACTTCCACGTCATGCAGGTTATAAGACCTGAAAAGTAACACGGGCGCCTCTGCATCACTGTGTCCGCAGGTACGACTTCGACGACGAGATGGAGCCCGAGATAGAAGAAGCTTTTGAGAATTTTTGTTTGGAATCGGAAAGGAAACGACAACAATGACGCAAGAGTCGAAACCCGCGACGGCCGTCAGACGCACACTGTGCTTTTCCCTCTCAACTCACCGGAATGTCGAAGGAAACTAGCGTCGGATAGGCTCAAACTTTTATTTTCCCGCAGACAAGCATTTTAACAACAACAACAACAACAAAAAAACAAACCGAGCTGTTCATAGTTGCACTTCTGACACTTTTTTCAGTCAGCGTTGGGTAGAAACTGGGGACAATCAGTGGGTTAACTGTTCGAAACGTTGGAAGCATTCAGACTTTTTTTTTCCACATGGAAGTTTTGTTTTTATGGTTTTAAGGTTCTCGCGAGACATCTCTCATTTATGCTTAAACTAAATGCCAAGAAGAAAAAAAACGTGTGCTGTGAATTTTTTTAGGGTTATTTTTCTTAAAGGCAGATAAGTTTAATTAAATGTGTGCATACATTGTCAGATCCTATGCCCCCGCGCATAAAGTACTGGCCAAAAAAAACAAAACAAAACAGCAGTAAAGCATTCTCTAAGAGGGAAGACCTTCATGTAAAGTGCACTGTAGCTGTGTGAGGTGGGTATTATTCTACTACATGCATACGTATATCTCCTCCAGCGCCTCTGAGAATATAGTGCATCAACTTATTTCTTGAATATTTCTCAAAAAACATCTTGCAGGTCAGGGTGACAAAAACTCAACTGCAAAACACATTAACCCGAGACTGAGAGACTGTTTACCAGCAGCTCATGGATCCCACACACAGGAATGTTGTTTTATAGTTTGTAAATATTATTGATAGTATTGTTTGCCTGCAATAAATTCTTTATAATGTGAGATCACGTTTGTTTCATTTGTGTGCGTTTACGAGGGAAAGAGAAAGAGAAAGAGAGAGCCTGTGCTGTAGTTAAGTTGATGTTAAGTAACTAAATTAAGACAATTACATGAAGTCAGCAGCTTATGGAGCTCCACAGCATCTTAATGCATTGTAGCAGCTAACGGATGCAAACTGGGGGTTAATAAGTGATGCATTCGTTCTTCTGTGCTGCAGAAGACGACGCATAAAAAAGCACGTTTTGCTTTGGAGTGATGAAATCATTTGAACAAGCAGATTACATTCTGCAAAAAACAACTGCTGCTTTGTGTTATGCAACAAAAACCAAAAACACTGAATTTTTCTGAGCAAACTCCGCCACCTACTGGTAACTCTGTGCGGTACAGTCCAGACAGATGAGAGCACGGCCTTTTCGTTCATACGGTTGAATTTGATCCAATCGTATGAAAGGATCAGAAATTCAATATTGTGATCCTGAGATCATCCAATCACAGCGATCCGTTCAAACAGAATCATTGGAACAACTGCTTGAATGCTATAATCTGCTGGTTCAATGAGATGTAGTGCACGAACACTCTTGTAGATTAATCGTTGCAACTGCTGGAGATGTTCCACCTCTCATCCAAGAGGCTTCATCAGTTCTGACTGACTAGTTCCAGATATCCTAAAGGATGATGGCTCCTTTAGGATATCTGGAACTCCCAACTAGTCAGTCAGAAGACAAGAACCATGACCTGGATGACTGAGAATCTTCACAGACTAGTAAAAGATACGGTGCTGATTTATCAGGTATCCCAAAGTCAAGCTGTCTTGTTAGGAATCGATTTGTGCATAATGATTTAAATTCCAAATATGAAACTAATGCAGAAATATTATATCAGCAGAAACCCCTTAGGTTTTTAGATACATGCATTTTTGTTGGGTATGAGATGTTTTTTTGGAGTTTCATCTGAGAATGTTTATGTAAGTATGTGTAGAAATTTACAGGTTTTTTTTGATTGACTACAACAATATGTGAATTGTAGTTATAATGGGTGGTGGTGCGGGTTGTCCTCTAATCGCAAGGTTGGCGGTTCGATCCCCGTCCCTCCACAGTCGAAGTGTCCTTGGGCAAGACACTGAACCTGAAGTTGCTCCCAATGGCAGGCAGCACCTTGCATGGCAGCTCTGTCACCATTGGTGCATGAATGGGATCTACTCTCAGATGTACGTCGCTTTGGATAAAAGCTAAATGACCAGACAGGTAATGGGGTGGTGGTGCTAAAATTCAGCTCACTTCACCGAAAAGTATAAGACATCAGGGGAAAAAAGTCCTATCACTGGTGTGTTTGTTCAGCATAGTGCTTTCAGTGGGATGATCCTTTACAAACCTGCAGGTTGCTGCCATCTGGTGACTGAACGGAAACTATGACCCAACTTCTGGTACGTGAGTCGCAACTTTTCAGTTTGTTTTTACTTTAGCTTAATTCAATTTGTGTGTTTGTTTTGTTTTTTTATTGTGACACCAGTGTTTTAGTAGAAGAGCAGACTGTTTTCCACTGCTGAATATAGGTTAATAGGAAAGAGGAATCACAAACTGCACTTGAACCAATTTCTGCCCCGATGAATTGATTCGAAACAGCTCAGATTTTCATATTTTCCGTCTTTACCATCCTGGAGCCCAGACATTTGAGATCTCCACCGCCCAGTCTCTGGTCTGCCTCTCTCACCGCCACATTTCCATATTAACAATCGCACCATTTATTTGGTGGAGAAAAAAAGGGAGATACTGCTGGTTTCTGGCCCTCCATTGGTTCACGGAGGCACCTTTTTCATGTCCACAAATTTGCTCTGCGTGTTCAGAGTGCCCTTGAAAATTCTTGGCGGTTGCCTTAGTCGAGAGGAAAATGATAAACAGTCATACAATGAAATTCCTTCAACCTCAACAACACACCACAGATATTTTTCTAGCTACAATAAAAAAAAAGAAGCTCTTTTGTGTTTTGTAACTCTCAGAACCAGGCAAATGTTGAAGTTGTAAGAGTTTCATGTCAGAGCTGTATATTCTGCTTTATCATGGATCTTTCTGTCTTGTGTGTCAGAACACTGAGGCGTCCTAATGAGCCAGAGGTCCATAATGAATACCACAGAACCACAACAAACCCAGCCGGAGCCTCGGGTCAGAACCCTACTTGTAGAAAAGCAGGAACTTCACCATAGTTGCTCTACCATACTTTATGTTTTAGTGAACTTACTCACTGTGCTTTAGAATAAAATGTCCTGCACTGCAGTAAATTGTTAGCATCTGCCAGTTGTTGCTGCTTCCTGAGCAAAAATGGAAACAGTCTGCATCCAATTTATTACCAAAAGGCACTTGTGGCGCTTAATCTAGACCGAGGAATGATCATTGCTGTGCTGTGAATTTGCTATACGCACACTTTTCCTATTTACCAAAACAGACATAAAACTAATTTGCATGCGAGTGCATTTTGAACTCGACTGTGCGAGTGTGTGTGTGTGTGTGTGTCATCCATAAAGCTGTTGAGGAAGCGCGTTGCACATGGTAGATAACTTAATCTGCAAACCGCTAGTTGCCAACTCATGGCTGGCAGAATAAAACACATCCTCCTCTTCTCACATGCATCTGTTTTTCTGGAGTTTTGCAATAAATGCACTTGTACAAGTCTTGCAAAAACAAAAAAAAGGTTTTGGTCGTGTCAGGATGGTAACTTCCCCCAGAGTCCCTTTAGCACCACGTCTGTGTGCAGTCATTGACTCGTGAGCCCCAGTGAGCCCGCTGGATGTGACTGTCTGGCTCACAATGCAACGGGCCAAACCGGGACCTGAGATTTCCATTGGTCAGCAGATGGGTGTGAAAGAGGGATTAGCTTTGAGCTACAATCCACTCTGCCTGAACCCTGTTAGTTTGCTCCTGTGGCTCGTGTCTCTGCAGTGGACGGTATAATGTATATTTATATCTGGAGGCAGCTTCCTCGAAAAGCTTCAGCGACAAAATCTGCTTCATTATTTTAAAAATGTCCACATAAGACAGAAGATGTGCAAAAACCATTTATGCCAGAGAGGCGATGATGACAAAGTGTGCTGCTGAAATGATTTTGATTTTTTAAACTCAAGAACTCAGCTGTGTTGTATTTACAGTCCAGTATCTGTGTTGGAGTGTCGGTACAAGACAGTGAGGTTTGTAATAATGTTTAGTTTGTCAGCTGTGTGTGTCAGAGAGGCGTTGATTCAACTCAGAGTAATTTTTGTGGTTATGTTGCTTTGCATGGGCGAAACAAACTGAAATAGCCGCTATGCTTTTAGTAGCGGCAACTTCTCTGGTTGAAAGTCTTGATGTTGCTTTAACCGCTAAATGTAATTCACTTTTTTTAATCCATCAATAAAAGCCCTCTATTGTGGCACAAACCTGGAGACACACAGCAGAACCTAAGCTCCCGGTGTGGTGAGATGCTGTCAGAGCCAGATGATATAAACCTGTTTGGATAATGTGGTTGAAGAGGCCGTTTCACTGTGAACAGCAGAAGACTAAGTCTCGGTCTGCGATTATAAACTACACATTGTGACCATTTGGAATGATTCACGGTTCTCGTCGGAGGAGATTTTTCTAATGACGCGCTCCCACTCCCACCATTATGTATGTTCCTTACAGGAAAACAGACCACAGGCTTTGCTGTTTCAAGATCCTTCCTTAGATTGTTTCACATGATCTCCCGCAGCGAGCCGCCTGAAACTGTTGGCACCGTCACTAGTGGAATAAATACAAGAGGGTATCCTGCTAAAGAAGGATTAACAGATATAGTTTGGTTTGTAATTTATTCCTTTAGCCTTTTTTCCTGGAACCCGCTCGCATCACAAAGGCCTGAATGTGCTGGTTTTGAATCGTCGAGGTGCACCGGATGACATGCACACGAGTCACGGCTGCACAAATAGACGAGTCGGCATAGAGATGCACCTCAGGCCGCCTGAAAACCTCTGAGTCAACAGAACTGTATCGATAAGTGGCTGCTGGCCTCCTGAAACACTGCAGCATATCTGGAAGTAGATCAGTCAAGGTGTCCAACAGGTAAATGATTTAAAGCTGCAACACAAATCTGTGACGTTGTTTTAACGTTCAACTCCTCACAGAGTTGACAAGTTTGCAAGCTCAGAGAGAGAGAGAGAGAGCGAGAGGGAGTCCTTAATACATTTCTGTGGTTGTTTGGCAGCTTATAGGGTACGCCTAGCTGTGATTTAAGATTTGATGTGGCCTGCTTGGAGGGGTGGGGATGGTGAACGATGCATCTTTGCTATTAGGCTGTGAGTTCACTGGCTGAGGCGAGAACACAGAAGCCCTGATGTGAGCTGTCTATCAGCAGGAAGGAGGCTTACACTGTTTACCTCACTGTAAGGAGAAAGTTTAATCGAATTAGACTAATAAGTCATAAATGCGTCCGCTCCGTCCAAGTAAAAGGAAGGTGTTTAGTGAGTTTCAGCCGATTAGAACAACAGCAGCCTTTTACAGCAACGTCACACTGTTCTCAATAACCGCCGGTGCGGTCGAGTAAAATCTGCAGCAGCATGACGAAAGTACTTAAATAGGTGTTGTGTTGACTTATTAGTGCTCTCGTATAAATGCAGGGCGCTTACAAGAGGCGGATTTGGCAGTGGTAGCTTCACCCCTTGGCCCTTTTTTTCCAACTAAAAAACCCAGTTTTAGCCAGAAACAGCTGCACGACTGTGAGGAGGAGATAAACAACTCTGGGCTCTATGGATGAGGGAGACTTGGGAGAATCTTTTAAGTACAATAAGTCTGCCTGTCTTCATCAGCAGGCCAGAGGAAGGGCTGAAAAACTTCAGCTAATGATGATATTTTGACACTAATACAATTTTATCCCTGTTTTAAAAGCCTCAATGATGTTACTGTGTCTATTTTAGCCATAAAGAAACCTTGAAAAAATGGTGCTAGTTGGGCTTTTATACCAGATTCAAGAGGTTAAAGGGTTTTAACTGGACGGTTGGTGGTTCAATTCCCGCCCCGGCTGCTTTCCTTACAGGTGCTGGAGGAGGAGGATCATCAGTAACTCTGGTATCACCTGGATCTGCTGTGCCAGAACTGCTTCTTTATTATTCTCTGGCAGCTCAGTTACTGCTGCTCTAACTCCGTGTGGTTTCTTTGGGTTTGTGTTTTTGCATCAGACACATTCGTCATTTGTCCTTGCATGCACTCACGTACACCGCCGATCTTCCTGTCTACCCCTCCTGTTGTTGGTTCCTTCATGTTTCTCTGGTAACTAATTTGTTAATTGACCCTTCATTGTCACAGCCGTGCAGCCTGGTTTAAGCTAAACTGGGAAAAGTTTACTTCCAGCAGTAAAGCTTCTCAGAGGCCAACAGACGATGTTCTGGGCTGCTCAAACTCTGATGTCCTTACTTATCTCTCCTACATTTCCCAAAATGCAACCAAAACCCCTTCATTTGACCCCGCTGCCAGCATCTTTCAAATTCCACAGGGCCCGCTCACAATGCAGGCTTTCTGTTGCAATCTCTATATAGCTGAGATGATGTCATTTGGGTTATTTTCCCCAGACTTCCTCCAGAGACATTATTAAAGTGTTTTCAGGGTCTGAGTCAAGCGTCCAAGAAGAGCTCCTAAACCGATCCGACAAATGTGCAAAGACTCCCTTTAATGACAATACTGTAGCTGTAGCTCTGTTGAGCTGTTTGCTCACAAGGCAACGTGACATCAGAGGAATTAATTATCTGTCTGGGCACATTGAGCAACAAGCTAGAGCTCTTTCCAAATTAGCATTTTGGAATGAGACCCCTCGCTGGAAAGTTAAATCCCTTTCAACTCTTTCGCCACCCTGCCCATGTCTTTTATGAGAAGTCTTACATCATTGTTTTCCACCAAATGAAAGAAAAGAAAAAAAGAAAGGCTTTTCCAGAGTAGCCCATAATAGACCTTCTATTGTTTGGGCTTCGGTTTATAGGTTCTTAATATTTTACATGTCTTAATATCTTGTCATGACCACAGCTCTCTGCTCAGCTTTGAGTTTAGATCTCAGACAGTGAAGGATGGATCAGGAGGATGAGAGACTTCTGGCTGTCAGCTGATGACGTTTATTTATTTTAATTTGACATGTTGGTTTAAGTCTGGCTCAGGAATGAGGGTTAATTTCAATTACAGCTGATGGGTGTGGACTTGTTGTGAACACTGACATCTTTTTAATCTTACATTTGCTTCCATTTCAGTTTTAACATCTTATCTTCACTGGAACTCTTTAAAAACTTCTTTTTTTTTTCTTTTCTTGGCTCCTACCTGCCCCTTACTGGATTCACAGCTGCCCCGCGCCTGAATCATTTCCCCGGTACCGCTCTGGGGGAGTTTATTGCCGTATTCACCCTTGGTTAACACTTGGAGGGCAAAGTTTGTGTCCGCAGGTAAGAGGAAGAACTCCGCTCCTTATTTAGGAAACGCGTCCGGCGCGTCACCGCTGACTCGCGCTGCGCAGCAACAACTTTGACAAGTGCGGTGGCTTCATTTAATCACTGACACAAATGGAATAAAGACGAGGATGGATTACCACTGGGGGATCATCTTCTTTGCTGTCATACTCATAAGTAAGTACCCAACTTCTTCTTCTTTGTTTTTGCACGTTTCACTTATTTCTCATTATTTTTGCGCCACTGCGCGCCGCCGATGCCTCATGAGTTAAATGGTACACATATTTTCGCGGAGTAAAGCAGCTGTTTTCTGTCTTTTTTCACATGATCGTGGTCTGTAAGTCGTGTTAGTCATTCGGTTGAGCTTTGATGGTCTTTGCAGAACAGTTTTCATCTGGACCGAGTGGAATGTCCTCATTGTTTAACTCGGTCTCACATCATCCTGCAGATTTTTGTTCTTTTCTTTTCCAAGCAAATGCACGATCCACAGTCAGCCCACATGGATTAAATGACGCTCTGAGTTGTTTTCTGGATCACACGGTCGCTGCTCTAGAATCAGTGGAAGCTTCCAAACAGCAGCAGACAGACAGACTTTTTTTTTTAACTCCTGCTCACATTCTCCATCCCTGAAACCAGAGGAAATGCAAATGTGTTGTGTGTGTTTTTTGCAGAATCCCAAGTGGAGGCAAAGTGCTACTTTGGTGCTTGCAGGTAAACAGGCGTGGCAGGAGACAGTGCTAGTGTAGGTCCCCTGAGTCCAATATCCATCCACATTCCTGTGCCTGCTGATTGAGGGGAAGGCAGGCTGATAGCTGAGCCGAGCCTGTGCGGACTTGTGGGTCTGAAACTGCAGCAACAACACACACACAAGCAAAATTCCACCTGAGGGGATTGAAAAGTGTTTGAAGATGGAGTGTGTGTGTTCAGAAACATGCTGCTCTGCTGTGGTGTGTGCTAGCTGCCACGGCTTGTATGACCTTCATCATGTGTTGCGAAGCTTCTTTAGTGTTTTTCCTTTATGAGTCAAGCTGATGTGGTTTTTTTTAATGCCCATGATTCAGACACAGAAGCACCCACCTGACTCCGAGGGGGAAGTCCGGATCGGAGATAAAACATCCAGCTTATCTCCCACCCGGATAAAAATTTTAGACCTTAGATACAGGAATACAAAAATGCAGAATAATATATCTGATACTGACGAGCAGAACTCAACAAAAATGTAAACGCAGCGTGTTAACTTCCATCCATTCTTTCTGAAACAACAGAACAATCACTTGCTGTTGGACATCATGAAGCAACCAAACATGCACCAGATTGGAAACGATGACGTGCGGATCGGGAGTTTGGTTCTAGACTAGAAATCACAAGTCGGTAACAAGTCACACATCGTGCTGTTGAGGTCGTCTGCTCATGTTTGGTTAATGTTTTGGAGGGTTTGGCGAAGTTAGCAGACATTTTTGAGGACAGGATCACATAATCGGACACCATCCATCCAGAGCATCATGTGGAGGATCGTCTGTCGTACCGGGCTGTCTGAAGGGATTCCTCAGACGAAGAATGCTGGAGTTGTGGACATTTAAGTGTCTGACTGACGTACCAGCATCCAGCATGCCCACAGCCTGCTCCTGTCTTGTCATCTGTGGCATCATGTTATATGAACAAGGTGGTCTTATGTGGTTACTGGACAAAAGAGTGTGTGTGTACTGGTCACACTACCTGATCGTTGTTCTTTAAAGGTCCCTAATGGTAAAAATGTCTTTTTACTGTGTTTGTTGTTGTTATAAACCTGGACATGTAAACTTAAAGCTGTTCCGATATGAAGACATTTTCTTCCCTCACAGCTTGTTGGCCTTCCTGCTTTACAAGCCCCAGTAAGAATTCGATTCAGGTCGTCATCCAGCTCTGGTTCTAGCTGGTGTTTTCCTCCTGAAGGAACCATCAGCAGCACTTTTTCTTCAGCCTGTTTAGCCTGTTTAGCACGCTGCGCTAACCACCCGCCCCAAACGTTCTGAGAAAGTTCTGCAAAGCTCTAAAAACATCATTAAGGGGAAGTTTTCTTTTAGTTCCCAGAATGTTCTTTCTGAAGGCAGGATGAAGTTCTCCAAAGATTGTCTGAATGTTGGATTAAGAACGTCTGTCCTTTGTCATTAAGCAACATCCCCAAAACAGAACATTGTAGGAACATTGTAGGAACAATGTAGGAATAATGTTCAACCTTCAACAGGGATGTTTTGTAAATCAGTTTTTTGAGGCCGTCACCACATCTTGAAAATCCTTTTTGAATGTTGAGAACGTTTTTCTGCTCCTATGTAACACGTTCTGACAACGTCCTGCAAACGTCCTCTGAACGTTAAACACGTTCCGTCTTAATTAACTGTTAACCTCAAAGGAACGTCATTGGAAACAATAAATGTCCTCAGAACATGTTTTAAAAGATGCTTACATTGAAACATTGCTAGAACTTCGAGGTAACGTTAGCCAATGTTGCGGGAACACTCATCCAGTCATCGGGAAGCTGACCATCTTTGCAGCATCTTGAGCTGATCAATGGGATGACACATTCTGGAGACATGTGAGACTTGTCCCTAAAACCTTTTTCTAACCTTTCAGCCAGAAAGGAAGACAACTTGCAGGCTCCAGTGTTAATGATGTGGTTAAAGTATTCATGTCAGGAAGTCATGTCATACGTGATAACCGATTGTTGTCACACATAGTCGAATGTGTGAAAACTATTAGTTGCTTTCATCCTAAAACTTCCTCTTTCTCCTCCTCCAGCTGACAGAATCTGGCAGGCCCACTCCTTCAACGTTGGCACTGCAGGTGCCAAGATTTTCAGCGGCCCAGCAGCAGAAGAGTTTGGATACACAGTCCAGCAGACGACAAACCATGAAGGCAAATGGTATGAATCTGAGCTGTCATGTAAGGATTTTGTTCAATGAGAGGAGCATGATTTACTTGGTCGTTATTACTCGAGGTGTGAGTATATCCTAAACGGGATGCTAATTATTGCTGTGCTAATTTGCAGTGCTATTGCTTTCAAGTGATGTCGACTTAATTCAGTGCATGTTTCTTTGCAAGTTCTCAAAATAGCATCGAAGGTGAGAAAGACAGTGTCACCTCCGGAGTATATAAATAAGCAAACCTGCACACCAGATCATGCTGGATTCTGCAATCAGCAAAGTTTCAGTTGCGTGCTTGTGGTCAGACTCCATCCTGAAGATGCTCCACAGGGCTGTGTGTTATTATACATAATACTCATCCAGTTTGCAAATGACGGCCTGTTGCTCCAGAGAGAAGCACCTGGTTATCTGCAGCGTTTAGTCATTCAGTGGCAGGTAAACAAGTCCACACACTGTGTTCACCGAGTCACTGTCCTGTGCATCAGCAGCAGTGGAGTCCAGTGTGCATTAAGCCAAACTGTGGTCTAGTTTCTTGCAACAGCCACCATAGATTATAAATCGAAAGTTCAGCTGTATTCTTTTGTTTTTAAGAGAAAGGAATGGATTTCTTTTGCTCCATGCACTGCTAGCTTTAAGAAGTCGTGTGCTGTTAAAAGTCCACCGTTTTCATCCTACCATAAAGTTTTGTACCGATATTCATGATTTTGCTTTTCCTGTAGCACCACCATGAGGTTTGCATGTTAGCATACAGATGTTAGCATTTACTGTCCATTGAGCCACCACACAGACAGAAAATGTTTTCTTCTTTCGAAACTCCTTCAGCTCCTCTGCTGTGATAAAATAAATGTTTTTTTCAGATAATCCAGCTTATAGATATAAAGTAGAAGGAAGTCCTGTAAGTTTGATCCAGATATTTGTGAGTTTAAAAAAAATCTGAATTTATCAGTCAGGCTCTGCTGATGAGCGACTTTCTGAGTAATTTCTTGCAACACTGTACAAGCACAAAGCACACACGACACGATCTGTTTAGTTTGAGCTGTAACATCCTGCATTAGTGACACAGACACTCCTGCCTCCCACATTACCAGTTAAACAGCAGCTGAGCGTCTCAATCACGTCTAGATGTTCTGAACTCTGAGTCACCGTCTCAGAGTCACCGTCTGCAGGAGTGTCCCATTTACGTAACTGAAGTTCCATTGTACAATAACTGATAGTGTTCTTTGTCGGTATATTCCACTGCGGCATGACAACAAAGCGGTGATACGCACAGTTTCCTGTCTCGTAATAAAGATGAACCGAGCCTTGTTTGGTTCTGGATTTAGAGAAAACTCAGAATCTTAAGCAACAACACTAAAGAACATGTGAATGTTGTGATGTGGTGGCGAAGTGTGAGCCGATAAAGAGCTGATGAGTTCTTTGTGAACTTGCAGAATCTTGTTTCTTACAGATTTAAAAGAAGGACAAGACCGACATGCCGTTACATGCTTCCAACAGGAGCACACAAACTTACTTTTGCAAACTTACAGGCAGATTTTTATGTGTGTTTTCTGTTGTTTTTGGGCCAGAAGTCGCTCAAAGGATTAAAATCGTGTTTGCTTTTCTTATCACAGCAAGTTACCATCTGTAGCTGTAACTACTATCGGTGCATGTTTATTAGAGATCAGCATCATTGTTTTCTGCAGGCTGCTGGTTGGCGCTCCGTGGAGTGGCTTCAGTCAAAACAGGAAAGGAGATATTTACAAGTGTCCAGTCTCAGGATCCAAGAACAGCTGTGATAAGCTCAATCTTCAAGGTGAGAGTTGCTGTTTGGTTGTTTAACCTTTGAACCAAACATTAGCTTAAAACGCCTCAACACAAAGATGCATCGTCCTAAAACATACAAAATAAATTTAGAAATGGACACATACAACAACAACATGTAATTTATTCATATTTTGAATTTATGGTGATTGTACAGGTTGTGTTAGTCCAGATTGAACAGCTATAATCTGACCTCTGATGCGATTTTGACCTTTTTTTCCTTCGTCGACAGACTCTCTCAGTATTCCAAATGTTAGAAACGTCAACACCAACATGTCCCTGGGTCTGACGCTCACCCGGCTGCCTGCACCCAGCGGCTCGATGGTATGTTTGTTTTTGCATGTGCGTGTTTTCACATAATCTGTCCAAAGAGATCAAGATATTTCAGAGAGGTGCAGATTGTAAGAGGGATTTTTAAGCTTTAGTGGCAGCTATTTTTCATAAATCTGTCAGTAATTTGCTATAATGCTACAGTACATCGCCTTTAGCTGCCATCAGGTTGTTGTGGTTACAAGATGAACACACTCGAGTGATAGAGCCAGTTCACCAGAAGCAGGTTTACTCAAGATTTCCTCTGACATTTGCATTAAGATGCCATTTTTAGATTGAGGGAAGTGCACCAGTGGCTCATGTAAACTGATTGCTGTAACAGGAAAGCAGCAGCAGGCCTTTGAGTTGCTGAATGTGTTTGCAGGTTTCACTTTATGTTTTAATTTTCTCACCAAAAGCACTTTAATACTAGATATGACTGTTAAACTCAGACACACGGTCGTACTGGGAGCTTTTAAAGGCAGTGACGACCCAGAGCATCCGTTAAATCTCTCTGTCTCTCTCTCTGTGGTCATCTGATTCAGATGTGTGGCCCTCTTTGGGGACAGCAGTGCGGCACTCAAGACTTCTACCCGGGAATATGTGCAAAGCTAAACCCCCTCTTTCAACCTCAGCCGGCCTTCTCTCCTGCCGTCCAGAGTAAGAAGCTTTCATACGACTACTGATGCTTTTAGTTGCATTTTAAGCTGTATAGTTAATTGTTTTGATGGGCGGCTGTGGCTCAGGTGGTGGAGCGGGTTATCCTCCAGTCGCAAGGTTGGCGGTTCGATCCCCTCCACAGTCGAAGTGTCCTCGGGCAAGACACTGAACCCTGAAGTTGCTCCCAATGGCAGGCAGCACCTTGCATGGCAGCTTTGTCACCACTGGAGTGTGAATGGGTGAATGAGAAACACATTAGAAGTGCAGACCATTTACCGTTTTATATTTAAGATATTATCGACCTTTTAAGACAAATTGTAGTGAATCGCAGTGGCATACCGTCTGCTTTCGTTTTTCTTTTTGCTTCCAAAACATTCATGTTCTTGTGAGTTGACTCATAGCCAGTTGCCTTTTTCTTGCAAATATTTCTTTTGCAAGTCAGGTTTGTTCTACGGTTTACGTTTTTGCACCGTAGCTCGGTAAAGGTTTGGTTTTCATTCACAACTCCCACTTCCTGATTGTCTGAGGTTTCTGGAAACCACCAGCAAGACAGTGCCTCTGCTTGCAGCTGCTGTTTATTTTAGGACAGCGGTATTTTAACAAGGCTTAAGTGGAACCTATTACCTGCAGTTTGTCAGGGAATTTGCACGAATTGAAACCAAAATGAAAAGTAGAAACTAGGTGTTTGTTTCATGGCTGCTGCTTCAACGTATTATTGTCTGTCCCCTTCTGGTGACTTGTTCAGCATGTGGAGGGCCGATGGACATCGTGATTGTCTTGGACGGCTCCAACAGCATTTATCCCTGGGAGCCGATGACAGACTTCCTACGGAAACTAATACCCTCGCTGGACATCGGGCCTCAAAACACACAGGTGACGACGCTGACACTTCATGAGGCAGAAGGAGAACTTTAGCCTGAAATTAAGCTTTTTTTTGTCTTATGGTCACAATTGCAGCTTTTCTTTATCAAACCCTGTTTAACTTTTTTTTCCGGCAGGTCAGCGTCATTCAGTACGCTGTCGATCCCAAGTTTGAATTCAAACTGAATCAGTATCAAAACAAAGACGAGATTGTCGCTGCGACGTCCAGAATCACACAGATGTACGGTCAGTCCACCAACACCTTCCACGCCATCCAGTACGCCAGGTTAGTGCCGCCTTTCATCGACGTGCATGCATGCATTTTATTTGTGGATTATTTATTATTACACTTCTGTCTTTATTACCTGATAGCAGCTGAATAATTTAGATGTATTCATTCATTCATCTTTTAAAACCACAACCAGTAACTTGGAAGCGTCCACTGTGTCTGTGTTTTCAGTCAGTGGGGTTTTAATCCAAGCCACGGCGGCCGACCGGACGCTGCCAAGGTGCTCGTGGTCGTCACTGATGGCGAATCTCACGACGAGTCGTTCAGAGACACGGTCATCGCCGAATGTGAGAAACAAGGCATCACGCGCTTCGGTATCGCTGTAAGTGATGATGATCACGTCACATATAGATAATAATCAGTAGATTCACTGTGCATGTTGTTGATTTTCTTCTGTGACATTTAACATCTTTTATACAAACCCGCTCACTCTCTCTGCACCCACAAAACCTGACAAATAAACCTGTAGCTGTAAACTTGGATTATCCTCCAAGTACTAACAACTGCGCAAAATCAGAGTCGCAGTTGTAGAGTTTTGTGCTTCTGGTTTATAGTTTAGTTGTTTTCATAGCTGTCATTGTAGATTTAAACTTGCTGATTGCACAGGACTCCACAGCTTCGTTAAAATCGTTCACGTTTGCACACATTCTGGATTAAATTGCTGTTTTGATGAGCTCAGGTTATTTTCTAAAGCTCACCGTTTTCCGCTCTTATTTTCTAAGGTCTTGGGTTATTACATCAGAAACAACATCGACACAGAAAACCTAATAAAGGAAATCAAATCCATCGCCAGTTTACCGACAGAGAAGTATTTCTTCAACGTGTCCGAAGAGGCGGCCCTCTCCACCATCGCTGGAACTCTGGGGAACCGCATCTTTAACATCGAGGGTGCGTATTATTTCCTTTCCTGCCTTGTTGTTGTTGTTGGAGCTTACGTGATGCTGGCTTTCTATTCATGCTGAGCTTTATATGTGTTTTCCCCCATTTGTATTCTTGATCCACTCGTCTGTTTACTCGTCTCCTCTGCTCCCACAAGGCACCGGTAAAGGAGGCGACAACTTCAAGATGGAGATGTCCCAGGTCGGCTTCAGCGCTCATTACTCCAGCCAGCAGGTACAACGCGCTGCCTTTTCATAGCTCTGAAACTTTTCTATCAGTTGTGACAAAGTAAGTTTACATGTGTGGCTGTTCTTTTCATTCACAAGAGCACTCGGTGACGTGAGGGATTCTGTGTGGTCATGAGGGAAATGATCATCAAATTCTGCAGGTGGTGTAGCTAAAAGGTTTATCAGATGTTGACTCGTTGAAAAAGGGACGAGGCGCTACACAGGGGTTATCTGTGAAAGACGATTTTACAAAATCATTTTCCCCTAAGTGTAAATGTTTGGAAGAAAATGAATAAAATTGGCTAAATTTCCACGTTTTCCTTCGTTTTGCATCCGGCCACGATAACCAGCCGGCTCAATAATCAGTCTGGTATGTACAGTAGTATTTGTGTGCTGACTGATCTGTGGTCTGCCTTGTTTTCAGGACGTGATGATGCTCGGAGCGGTGGGAGCTTACGCTTGGAGCGGCACCGTCGTCCATCAGACCGGGTCGAAGGTGGACGTTCTGCCCTTCTCAGCGTTTGAGGGAACGCTGCAGGACAGAAACCACAGCTCATTGCTAGGTGAGCGTTAACAGCTGTCCTCTGCATTATAACTCTGTTGAAAGTCTCTTAATGAGGGATGATTTCACTCAGTTTGTCATGGCGTTGGCAGTCACACTGGAGGCTCTCGGTAGGTTTTGTCGCTGAGCGCAGCAGCTTCAGCTTGATTTCTACACAAGGTTGAAGGTGTGGTTCATATCTGTGGCGCTTTTGAGTGGAAACTGATTTGTTAACATTTTTCTTGGCCAGATCAGCGCCGCAACTGGCAGCTAATCACTTTTTTTTCACCTTGTAACTGTTCTGTGAAGCAGAACATCAGAGAAAAACTATTTGCATGACTTTGAATTTAACTTTGCAAGATTAAAGCTAAAATATGCTCAATTCATCCTCATGCCCAGTCAGTCTGTCTCACCTGACATTCACTTTCATAGTACTTTTCACATTATTAAATGCACACACATTAATATAATATCTTCCTATCCCCTCCTTAGTTATATATACTAAACATTATTTACACCTGATGGTAACTGTGGTGACTCCTGGACTAACTGTAGTGCATCTGCAAACCATAGAATTAACTAAAGATATGTTTTGGAGTTTAAATTTATGTCGTATAAGTTTAAGATTTGAGAGAATCTGCGCATCCTTTTCAATCATTTCTTCATTTTCATATTGTTGCTGTGATACAGCGGTACGATGTGTGGTTGTATTCAGATGATTCATTTCAGTGAAAATACTGTGTTCTAGATGTTACTGAAGTAAAAGTACACGAGTATGTCAGTCAGAATAAAGTATGAAGAGCAAAAGAGCCTGTGTTGTATTGATTTTCTCCTGCTGATGCATTTAGATATGTGCAGGATTTTAATGTTCTAACTAGTTTAGTCATGTAATCAGAAAAAAAGCATTGAATTCCACATGATCATATACGTGATCATATATGTGATCATATATGTGATCATATGTTACATTTTGCATGAAAAAAACCTCCAAAGAACATCTATAATCCCTTTAGAGCTCTCCTCTGGCACAATGCAGGCATGTACAAACTGCTCTTGGTTAACATCTCCGTCATGCGTTTATTGATCTTGTTGTACTTGTCGAGGCAGGACAGCTCACCCTGTCGTTGTTCTTATTTACTACACAGAGTTTTGTAAAATCATTTGATTTCCAGCATCGCTCCACCCGACTCACGCCTGACTGCGGTCCAATCAGCCAGAATAAATGACAACACCAGTCTTTGTGCCATAGAGGCTGCAAAAAGTACAAATACTCAAATACAAATACGGTACATTGCAGAAGTAAAAAGACGTCCAAACTTCAGGTGTCGGCTGCTAAACGTGTGCTCTGTTGCAGGTTACTCCGTCACCACACTGAGCGACGGGTTGAAGGAATACTTTGTGGCCGGCGCTCCTCGCTCCAACCACTCCGGGCAGGTTATCGTCTACACCGTCAATGCTCAGAAGCAGTCCGCCATCATCGATTCGGAAAGAGGGAAACAGGTACTGACCATGGAGGCTACGATAGAGTGAAGCCTGACAAACTTATTTATCTTCTCATCGGTAAACATCTGGCCATTGTTGTCCCAGATTGGATCGTACTTTGGAAGCGTCCTGTGCCCGCTGGATGTGGACCGAGACGGAGCGACGGACCTCCTGCTGGTTGGTGCTCCCATGTACATGAGCGAGCTGAAGAAAGAAGAAGGCAGAGTCTATGTCTTCTCTGTCACCAAGGTACAGGAAAGGACTTTCTTAAGCCTGATTCTCAGTCTTCACACTGACTCCTACAGCTAGACGTCCATTCTCAGCTTTCTTAGTAGAATTTAAGCCACATACTTTCTCCGTCTCGTCACCTGAAGGGGATATTGAACGAGCAGGGATTCCTCAACGGTCCGCCTTCCACTGAGAATGCACGTTTTGGGATGGCCATCTCCGCCGTTCCCGACCTGGACCTGGACGGTTACAACGACATTGTAGTCGGAGCGCCGCTGGAGGACAAAGGAAAAGGTGTCATCTACATCTACAACGGAGACAAGAAGACACTGAACAAGCAGTTCTCACAGGTAGGACAAGACGAGGTTGTGTTCAATCTGAGAGACGGACGTGTTTTGGTTGTGATGGAGATGCTTGATACACATCATTCGAATCCCAACCAGTTTCTGGGTGTTTTTTGATCTTCATTTTCACTCACTGCGGGCTAATTTTCACTACAATTTAAAGTCCTGCACCTCTATGGAAACAGCACAGCCATGACTTGAAGTAGAGAGAACTCAAAAATACCTTTCACGTGGTATGACGAAGTTATAATGCCACATTAAAAAGAAAAAAGTTTAATTTTGATTATTTGTGTCACAAAACTGGGATCAACACGTACAGCATTTCTCCAGGTGCCCATTGGGGTAATTAATACTGAGGAAAACAGGTAACTCTACAAACTACAGATGGTTTTCTACCAACATTTTTGTCTTCTGTAGCCTGTAGTTTAGACCTGTTCTGCTAGAAAGTCCCTGATTTTTTGTCACTTGGCTGTTGGTTGTTGCTGAGTCCATCATGGCTTCATGGTTCAAGCTGGGAGCGTAAAATTATTTTTATTTTTCACTGAATCTCATTAATGCAAACGGTGTATTTTTGGAGAATTTTTAAATGAGACGTGGAATGAAGTGAGTTTGATGACATGACTTTAAACTTTGTCTTCTGACGGAACAGCATGTCACAGATTGTTGTAAATACAAGGGAGTTTTATTCCTTTCTGGTTTTTTTGTAGTTTCTGGCTCAGATAAATTATGTCATTTTAGCATTTTTGTTTTCTTTTTTAAATATGACACGACTTTCAAACTTGCCCGTTGGTTTCGGGGTTCAGATGGTTAATATCATTATTGTAATAATAATATGTGATGATAATTTTTGTCTTTTTCAGAGAATCCTTGGCTCCAAACTGGATCCTCAGCTGCAGTATTTTGGACGATCTCTGGACACCTACAGAGATCTGAATGACGACACGCTGCCTGACGTCTCCATCGGTGCTTACGGCAAAGTGGTGCAGCTCTGGTGAGTTAAACTAGTGCAGGACATGGGGGCCATGAATATAGTCTATAAAATATGTAATGATTTACTCGGTTTTATGATGTTCAGTCAGTGAAGCCGTTGTCTGAGACGAGCTGATAATAAATTGAACTTGTTTTCAGGTCCAGAGGTGTGGCGTCTGTCTCGGCTGCAGCTACTTTCAAGCCTGATAAAATCAACATTTTCAACAAACCCTGTGACGTTAACGGACGCAAGCTTTCATGTTTCGACACCAACCTCTGCTTCACTGCTGCGTTCAGGCCCAAGAAGCCCATCGGACCCATTGGTAAACCTTCCTGTTGTGACAATAAGTGGATTGCTTTTATTTAAAGTAACTGTGAGAACTGTGGTTTTGAGGGTAAAGATGCTGCTGGAGACCAAAAGAGATTTTAGACTTGATGTTCAGATTAGGCATTTATTTTGAAAATCTTGATTTTCAGCACAGATAGCAGGTAAAATGACAAAGAATGTAAAAGTTCTTCACGTCAACCTCTTGTCAGTAATGTTTTGTTAATTTGCTATCATCTATTCTTGGCCCATTTTACACTAACCTACCTAACTGGGTGCCGACTTTAGCTGCACATTTACCTTAAACACATGTACGTGGTTTCAAGCTTCTCTGCTAACTGTCATCAAGAAACAAAATCCGCCTGCTTTCCAGATTTTTAAAATCCCATCCTAATAATTTTCAAGAAAATAAAGTCTCATAGGGGCTGCAAGGTGGAGCGGTGGTTAGCACTACTGCCTCGCAGCTAGAAGGTCGCTGGTTCACATCCCAGCGGGGACACCCAGGTTCTTTCTGCGTGGAGTCTCCATGTTCTCCCCGTGCAGCGTGGGTTCTCTCTGGGTTCTCCGGCTTCCTCCCACAGTCCACAAACATGCTGAGGTTAATTGGTGATTGTAAATTGTCCGTAGGTGTGAATGTGAGTGTGCTTGGTTGTCTGTCTCTAAGTGTAGCCCTGTGATAGACTGGTTACCTGTCCAGGTGAACCTGCCTTCACCCTGAGTCAGCTGGGATAGACTCCAGCCCCCCATGACCCTAGTGAGGATTAAGGTGTAGAGATGATGGATAGATGGATGGATAAAGTCTCATAATTTAAATCTCAGATAGTGTGTCAGACATAATTTTTCCCGTCTCTCTTTCAGATATATCGTACACTTTGACCCTGGACGCTGACTTGCAGGCTTCACGAGTGACATCAAGAGGACTGTTTACGAAGAACAACGAACGCTTCCTCACAGAAAAGGCAAAAATCTCATCGACGCCCCTTTGTCAGAAGTACCAGGTTTATGTTCAGGTAATGGATAATAATTGACCACCTTGATTTGATAAAGTTTGTTTTTCCTACGTCTGTTGATGCTGATTCGTTCCTGTGCCGTTTATTCCACAGGAGACGCCAGACTTTGTGAACTCTCTCAGCCTGAAAGTCGAGATCGAGCAGGAGAACGCCGACGTGAACCCCGTCCTCGACATATTTTCTCCAAACGCCCTGGAATTCTTTGTAAGTTCCCGATACACAAGTTTTATCTCTAAGTCTGTGTTTTGTTTTGGGTTTTCTTCCCGTTTGGTCTGCAGGTAGCAGATGAAGTGTTTGTACAGTCATTTCAAATGACACGTTACGCCTGCATGATGATTACCGGCTTGTTTCGCAGAGTCATGCAAGTTCTTGGATTTAAACGCTACAACAACAAGATGAAAAGTCATCCAGTGTAGTAAACATGTAATAAGCTTCCTGTGTGTTGGGTTCTCCAAAGCTGTGGAGGTGACAGGAGAAGAAGAGCGACGCAGCATCCGGCTGAATCTGCTGCTTCTGTCTGTGTTTCAGATCCCCTTCACCAAAGACTGCGGCTCCGACGATGTCTGTGTCAGCGATCTGGTGCTGAGTGTGAAGACGAGCACAAAATCATCCAGGTAAGAAAGAAAAGAAGTCACAGACTTGTCTTAACATCCAGTTTTGCAGTGAAGATAAGATGAGCTTCATGATGCGTGATGGTATCCTCAGTGGGAGGCAGAACAAGCTCAGACAAGGCTGTGTGCGTCTTCACTGAGTAATGAGGATAAGTCATCATTTTAAAGGACTCTGAAAACAAACAGTCAGCTTCATACCACGAGATAAACAGATGAAGGTCAGAGTTTCTGCCAGTTCGGACGCTTTTCGTCGCCTGTATTTGTGTTTTTCTCACTGCGTTGAAACACAGTGAAGTTAAACACAT